GGGGAGGGGGACAAAAATTGCTTTAAAAATGTTGACGTAATTAATGGAATTAGTAGATTGGAATTTCAAACTACTATTGCTTTCTTCAAATAAATTCCAAATTGCCTCTTCGCTATACTTCAAAATATTTTAAACTAAATCCACAGAATCTATTTGAAAATGACGATTTAGGAATAAGAATTTTTTCTAAAACTAGTACCAAAATATTGCAATAGGCATGATAATTGAAATGCTAGTTCACAGAAAATTTTTTCTTAAGCTTTCTACTGGATTCTCATCTAAAATAAATTTAATCATTTAAAAAATGAGTGAAATAGATGGGCCAGTTTGTTTATTATTATGATATTAAATTTTAAAAAGAGAAAAGCAGTTGGGAAGTTAATAATAAATATAGGCTAAGTATTTTAAAAAAAACACAAAACATATCTGTTATTCAAGAATCTTTGTAACAAAAGTAGCACATTTAAAGAAAACAAAAAAAAACTTTCGATTTGATAATACTTAATAATTGATGAAAAGTGCACTATTTTTATGGGCCCTGAGCCTGTAAATTCTAAATTAGAAAAAAAAAAAAGCTTGATGCCATCATACAATTTATAATTGACACCTATCTCTACTTTAAAAGACATGCTTTTACAATGAACTTTAATTTGATTTGAGAACAGATTGTATTATGTTATGATGTCAGTGCCGTCTTAAGGAATGAGTACAGTGGGCTCAGTGGGCACTTGCCCAGGGCCCCGCGCTTCTGGGGGCCCCCTTGCTTCTAGGAGACTCACTCTTATAAAGGCATTATGTTGCAAATATATAATGAATATTGAGAAGTTTTGGCCATTAAATTTGATTTAAAAATCAGTGGACAGCATGTTTCCCAATTTTAACCCACGATTTTATCGGCACGTTCCAAAATTAATATTATAAATGCGAATCACAAGTTGGATACTTTTTAAACCTTTAAAGGGGAATAACAAGTTTTACTTCTCCCAGATATGAATCGAAAAATGATAAAGTTAGAGTATTTGTTTACAAAGTTAGACAAAAATGTTGGCCCCGGGCGGTCGTAACCCTAGATACACCACCGCTCCGTAGTGAAATTATTGGTTAAAAATCTATCCTAGCACCAGCTCAAGTACTACTTAATTTAATTAGCATTATATAAGGAATTTTTAGGTCACCAATGAATAATTCTTTTTAAAAGTAAATTTTTTTTAAAAACAAAATCCAAATAACTTTATATTTTCTAAACAGAAAAATATTTTGTATTCTGTGTCTGAAAAACATATTTAGATGATAAATAGAACTCAACAGTCACCGTATGTCTGAGCTGTAGGCAGAAATATATAGGCATTTAGACATAATTGTGCTCACTGTTTAAAGCTCAAAGTCATTTTCATCTTACCATGTAGGTCAAACACAGAGATCGATTTTATTAATTGCACCATGGCTATTGATCACTTCCGGATGTTCGTTTTTATCGGGGCATAAGTCAGTCTGAAGGGACAGAACAATCCATTTTAAACGGATTGCTGCTATTACTATAGAAATACTTGTAAAAAATGAATATATTTTTAGGTGTTTAACCCCCTAAGCGGGAATTAAAAAAATGTTTTTATAATTGAGCACAGAAGAGAAAAAGAGCTGAGGAGACAAGGAAAACGGGTAAACTTGAAAAATTAACATCTTGGTTAAATCCAATCGAAATATCAGTGACTCAAATATCAGTGACTGCTCCTCAAAATAAAGTAGCGTCATCTACATCCTCTATTGGATCCAGCCATCTAGTTCCAGAAATACCATTACCTATTTCCTCTGCTGGGGAAATCGCAAAAATGTAAACACACAAAGCTGTGTCAGAAAACGAGAGTGTGATTCACCACACATATCCCGGGCTTTGGAATATTAAGAACACTTGTACAGTTGAGTACTGGATTCGCGGTGGGCCATCATTGTGTCAGAATCATGACTGCAACCATTCAAACTCAGACAGAGCTGGAGAAGAAAGAACTAAGACAAGGTATTTATCAAGAAATATGTTCAAACGTGAACCGCGAAATGGCGAGTATGTAAAACTCGAATGGCTTCTCTATTGACCATACCAAGGTTGTTTGCATTGTTTTGCTTGTCATCTATTGTCCAAAAAAGTATTTCCCTTTGCTATATCAAGATACAATTATTGGAAAATAACAATAATATTGTAGACCATGAAAATGGAGTAGTGCATTGCAAGGATATGACAGCATATTTGCTTCGACTGAAAGAAGCCTGGTGTTTAGGTCCTTTATTAATCAAAGACCATAGGTCAAAACAGAAATACTGGCATAAAGTTCTGACTCCTGGGGTTTATATCGTTAGCTTTCTTGTCTCTAGACGTTTGGATCAAACTATTGGGTCAGTAAGCAATGGAAATTGTTTAGATATTTTAGAGCTGTTGAGTGAATGTAATCCCTTTTTTTTTTTTTTTTGGAAGAGCATCTCAAACTATAATGGAAATGCTGGAAACACATATCTGTCGGCAAATATTTGAGAATAATTTATTGATCTAATGGGGCAACATGTCCTTTGTCCTATTCTGGAAGAAATTACAGAGTCAAAGTATTATTCAATAAGTTATGATTCCACTTCAGATATTTCACAAATTATCAACTGACATTTACGGTCCGGGACATTCGAGGATGTAGGTCTGTAGAACGTTTTATCAAGTTAATTTCCATATTTTACCATGGAGCAAAGTATCTAACAGACACTTTTTTGTATCATTGGATCTTGCAGACAATATTTTGGATTTCCTGAATGAGAACAAAATTCCGCTTTCAATTTGCCGTGGTCAATCGTATGACAAAGCTTTAAATGTATATGTCTTTAAATGTATATGTCTATGGACGCAACAATGGATTGCACGCACGGCTGCGTCCATTGAACGAGTTTTCCGTCTATGTCCCTTGTGCTGGACACAGTCTGAACTTAGTGGGCTTAAAAGCAGCAAAGTGTTTCTACAAGTTGGACAATTCTTTGACGTTCTTCAGCGCCTATATACCCGTTTGTCAGCTTCTACATATCGATAGAATGTTGTGGTATCTTCCTTAGGAAAATCTCTCGTTGTCGTAAAGCATCTGTCTGACACAAGATGGTCGGCACATTTTGATGCCGTCAACGTTTCGAAAAAAACACAAGACGCTCTGGACTCTATATCAGCTGACACTGATCAGGAAAAGGAAAACGAGGCGTGAGGCAGAAAGACTAAGTAATCAAATGGACAACCTGATAATTTATCATCATCTGGGATGAATTATAATGTATTTCTGATGGTTTAAAACCATTATTTAATTGGAATGAGTTGGTTTTTTTTTATATAAATAAGTTGAATTAACCTATTTTTAACTTTATTGAATGTTTATTCTTAGTTACAATTGTTTTCCTCTTGGTGATTTGGGTTGGGAGCAACAACTATTTGCACCCCCCCCCCCACAAATGTTTGTGCATGGGATTTTTTATATAAATAAGTTGAATTAACCTTTTTTTAACTTTATTGAATGTTTATTCTTAGTTACAATTTTTTTCCCCTTGGTGATTTGGGTTGGGAGCAACAACTATTTGCACCCCCCCCCCCACAAATGTTTGTGCATGGGGCGAGTGCACACTTTGCCCCCCCCCCCTTTTCTAACGACCCTGGTCTGTTGTGTTGCTAGGGGCATCAGTGCATTGCTGTGCTCTTAAGACGGCCCTGCAGGCTACGCTGGGCAGGACACTTAGAGAGAATGCCAAAAGGAGTGAAGAGGGTGCATTACCAAAACCCCAGAAGAAAACGGCTTAAAGGCAGACCTAGGCTTAGATGGATGGATAATGTGGAACAAGATCTGCAACAACTGGGATTCCAAGCATGGACAAGAAAAGCATTTGTTAGGTCTGAGTGGAAGAAAGTAGTGAGGCAGGCCAAAGCCCTACATGGACTGTAACGCCACAGGGATGGATGGGCAGGACACATTGAAAGGATGCCGCGTTGTAGAACAGCAGAAGTGATATACTGGCAGAAGCCTATGGGCAGACGGCTCAACGGTCGTCCAAGACTGAGATGGATCGACGATGTAGAAAAGCATTTACACCAGTTGGGGGTTCCTGCGTAGAGGCGGAAAGCCATTGATCGATCCGAATAGAAGGATATGTTGGAGCAGGCCAGGGCCCTACATGGGCTATAGTGCCACTGATGATTATTGATCCTGTTTTTCAAGATTGGTTGGGAGGGGGGATCTTAATGCGTTGTTAAATTGATTCTTATTTGGTGTGTAGCATATTGTATAGCTGTTGCTATGTGCTTTGTATTTGTCACGTATTATTTGGTATGTTATAAAAATTAAAAAAATAGTTTTGAAGGGGAAAATGAATGAAATATGAAATGTATTTTCGGCAAAAGTTTACCCATTTACATATCCGCTTCTTAATAAATGATAAATCATGCATAATTACATAAAGGCAAACAAAAAATGCATAGACATTTCTCGATTTCTGCTTTCCTCATCCCCACGCCGATCATTATGACACGAAGTGGTCGACTTAAAAGCTTGGGTCCAATGAATATCCTGGGCACGTCACACTTGTAATGAATTCAGCTTACGTATGCCACAGTGACAATGCCTAATGTGTGTGCTGATAAGTGACCCGCTGAAATTGTCAGGAAGAAACACTGAATTCAGGTTTATGACAAATGTAGCCCTCACTTTTGAATTTGTGAAATAATTTCTGAGGAGGGGGCTCAATGAGAAACGGGAAAAAAGTGTATATCTTTGAAAAGCAAAACTTTTGGAAAATGGTCTCAAGGGAGCGCCTTTTACCTCTGTTCACCGACTAGCTCCATTACAGGGGGTAACACTTTTCAAGTCTTTGCAAATTGCAACGATTCTGTAGATTTTTATTATAATGTACATGATTTTTATAATCTGGGGAATATCTGGGGAATTTATACAAATTATGTGGCAGCATGGCTAAACTTAACTTCATAGGCAAGAGATCAACCTTACGGATCGTGACTCCACATTCCCATTATTAATTGACATCTGGTTTTGTATGTTCTCTTTATCACTTCTTAAGCTAATATCAGCACATTCGTAGTTAACAAGGTAATCATAAATGTTACTTACTTTCTTAAAAAATAGTGAGCTTAGTTGGCTATACTATACTATAGACGATAGTAAAATAGTAAAGTGTAGGCTTGGCTTGGCCTCCCAAATAATATTTGTAAAAGTAATTAAATAATTAATAATTTAATTTAAATTACTGGCTTAGGCGCCGGCTTCGGGACATCAAGTTGGAAACATAAGAACCTTTTAGAGCAGTCTGGGGAAAACTGAAATCCAGGGTGATAGGGGCCATCCATAAATGACGTCACGCAAATTTTGCTGCTTTTTTACACCCCACCTGCCCCATCCTCACAAAAAATTGAAAGATAACATAATTACAGAGCACACATTGCTCGGTCTCACCGAAATTCATAAAAGGATAACAGATGACACGTGTATTTTCCACCCATGTAACCAATTTAAATGCGTGTTTCGTTGATATTAAAATTTCAAGGTTGATGCCATATTATTAGGTCAGAAACGCACCGTTTTGATCATTTTTCAACACCGAATCAAGTTTTCGTTAACTTTTGTAAGTGGCAGGGAGTTATTTTTATCTAAATTCTGAGAAATACAACTATCCTTTGATAACAATGGGCGATTCTAAGAACGTTGCAATTCTTAAACACATTTACCCCCTGACCTTCAATTAATTTTTTTTTGTTCTTGCATTTCTTATACTGTGGACTAAGTTTAACAAGAAGAAAAACATTGTAAAAAAAAAGGAGGGGGGGGGGCACCACGAGCTAACCGGACCGGGTGACACCAACCCTTGCTAAGCCACTGATTCTATTTGCTGCAATTGTTAATTGTTGCTGCTTTGAAAAAAAAAAAGAACAAGTTTTTATGCATTATGATTAGCAGCTGTCAATGGTGAATTTCATTGGCGCATTGTTTGTATTGGTAATTTTCCCCCTGTTTATAAAAATTTAATGAAAGAAATAAAACGACGATAACTAAATCATTTAATTATTTTATTATTACAATGTTATTTATATGTTGGGGGAAGGATGTTTAAAACGGAGTTTACTAAGATAGCCCCCCCCACCCCGCGGTCAACCTTCTCTCCCCCCCTCCATCACACTTCCCGTGTTCAGATTTAGCCATAAATTCTCACGACTGTCATTGTAATTACATTCCGATTCTCCTACTACTGGGCATCCTGTAACTTGATCAGAGTCAGAGGCCATTCTTCGGACATTGCATTCTGTGCTGATTCTCTCAGTGATAGTAGTTTTAAAATAAAATGATGGTTGTTTTTTAAAAGGACATTTCATCGTAATTTTCTGGGGAGGGGAGACCCTTCCCCAGCACCCCTTCCCCTTCTTTCAAGACAAAAATAAAAAAATGAGGGAAAAAAATCAAATAAATACAGAGCTTATTTTCGAAAAACAGAACTATGGCCCGTTGTTAACCTGGGGAACTTCCATGACCTATATACCGTGAAAAACATGGCTGGCCCCCACCGCTAACTGCATTTTAGCCAAAAATTCCTGATGGAACACAAACAACATGTGTCATCTCATTAAATATTTTCACATCCCAAAAACATTGAACCACAAGGATCTCTGGATCTAGGTACGTCCCATGCCATGGCCCAAAATGTGTTTGTTCCACCCTACACAATCTCAGGAACACATCTATCAAAAAAATATTTCACTACATCCTTCATAATTACCAACATTTCACCGATTATGACAAACAACATCGCATTACTACAATAAGGATATATAATTGTAAACTACCTATTGGGTCTTATCCACTCGGCCATCGACACTGAATACTATTTTATATTGCCTAAGTTTAAGCAGGTTTCCCATCATGAAGCCAAGGGGGGGGGGGGGGGGGGTGGTGGGGATGGGATTTGAAGATCATGGGGGCATTTACTATATTTTCTTTGACATTGACTTGTTGAGGACGCTAGGAAAGTTTTCATCTTTCAAACAATCAAAGCTAGACAGAGTTTGACAGGTCGCCATCTGAGCCTTCTCTTTTATCTAGTCTTCTAACTTTCCATATTTCCCTGAGAGTTTTTTTGTATACAGTAGCAGTTCTCAAAAGGTGTGCCACGAGATAAGGTGTGTTGGAATTTTCTGAGACAATTTGATATTGCTGGTAAAAGCAATTAAAATAATTTTGCTAATCATGCCATTTCTATATGAGGGATGTAAGAAAATGACCAGTTTAAAAAAAACTATAGACCTTTTCTATAAAAAATGTATTTGCTCTCTCTTTTTGTGTCCTTAAATTTGGAAATATAAATAAATACACAATTTTTAACTTTATTATACTTTTATTAATTATAGTTTTGATAAAAAAGATTATTTCATTACTGCGCGGGTCGCCAAGTGGGTGGAGGCGGGCCGCATCCATGCAGGCTTGCTTTAAACATATAAATAGCTTGAATTAAGAACTCTTAAACAAAACTACTATTTAGAAATAACTAAAAAAGGAGGATTTTTATAAACAACCAGGTCAAGGGAACCTACATTTTCACCTAGCATCTTGTCTGTTTATTGCTGATTTCAAGTGTGGAATGATGCAAAAATAAATTGAGATATGCATTATAATGCAATATCATTTGGCATGCCTAATTTTGGCATTGGTAGATGTCTGAACCCCCCCCCCCCACCCCCCACCCCCAAAAAAATGCCCCAGCCCCCTTCAATGAAATTGTCACATTATAATGCAATATCATTTGGCATGCCTAATTTTGGCATTGGTAGATGCCTGACCCCCCCCCCCCCACCCCCCACCCCCAAAAAAATGCCCCAGCCCCCTTCAATGAAATTGTCTTAAAGCAACACTGAAAAAACATATGAGGTATGGAGTACCTATGCTAGCTAGCCACAAGAGGAAAGTTCATATTTCCCCCTAAGATGTCTGCGATCCATTAGGTGCACTCATGGAAAGTGTATCATGTTCTTCACACTTGGGCACATTCAAAAGAATGGACTCCTGCTGCATTCACAAGGCTGTATAGCAGAGAATGCACTTCACAGAAAGGAGAGACTTAGACAGGCTTATATGCACTACAAGGATGTGTGCAAGAAAGGCATGAAAGCCCTTAGTATCAACCTAAGCGTTTCACGAGATTGCTGTGCTGAAGACAGATCTCGCTAGATACTTGTAAACAAAGACATAGAAGTGCCTAAGTTGTGTGAAAAACAAAACTTTGTTGCTGAGAGAAGAGCCAGCAAGAAGGCTAAAAAAAGCAATCTATATCATGTTAATAACCCAGAAAATTAAGCAGGTACTGCCATTTCAGGATTAAACTCTACTCTTGAACAACTCTTGCAAATAAGAAATTACTTGATGAAGACAAGGATGCCTATAAGAAAATTTTAACAGTGAGCATCCAATGAACAGCCAAACACACAACACTCAACAATGCAAAATAGATATTCAGAGCTAACAAAAAAGAAGAATGGTTAAATGGATGGCAATTAACTCAACAGGATGATATGTGTTTTACAAACCCTAAAAGTCAAAAAAAAATTCCTCAGAACACATGAAAAGGTCATAATCTTTTTTCATGCCACAGGACACATACAACTTAATTCTCACCATAACCATAACCACATAAAACACCAATGTGGCCTCTCTGCAAACATCCATAGAGATGGTAAATCATCACCTCTTTCTCTGCCAAGCACTCTATGACTTATGCCTTAACTACCTACCAAAAATACCTGACTACTCAAGCACCCTTATACAAAGAAAAGCTGCGTAGACAAACGGGCACATACCTACTGTATCTGAATGATGATGATTTTAAAAATATCTATGATAAATACCTTGCTTCATGCATTTTATTCAGAATTTTCATCCTTTTGGTGATGCATGAAGTTCATTTCTATTGTTTATGTAAACATCTTATAAAACAAGAATAGGGTTTTTAAGCAAGATTATCCTGCTTCTTCTTTACATATCTTTATCACAATCTTTAAAACTTTATTTATACCATTCCTTAATTGGACGCTTTTAACATTCCTTCATTGTTAGCACAAAATACCCATTGAGAACTGGGATAATCCTACTAGGTAGTTCTGTTTAGAGCTCATCTTCCCTGCTGTCTACAGGTAGTAAAATATTTAGTACGAAATTCATAGATCATCACTGTGGAAAAAAGTAATCTACTGTGGAATAAGCCATGTTTTTTCTAAGTTTCTGTGATTCTCTAAATCCCCTATTAATTCTTTTCTGTGTGCATTTTTAAACACATGCACTTAGAACACTCGTAATGTAATCTTTACTCTTGATTTTTAACATTCTTCAAACTGTTTTGTTCTATAGCACTGCAAAATGAAAACACTGAGCCTAATTTTAATAGCATTAGGATGTCTCTTCATTTCCTATGCTTGGAGCAAAAAGCAAGATGCTTTTGTTGAAGACAATGACTTTGCTGAATTTGAAGAATTTGAGGATGAAGAAGGTAATGTTTTATTTTATTAATCTTAACATTATTATTCTAATAATCTTATTGTAAGTAAAATAGGAGATAACATTTAAAGACATGTTACCTCATGCTACAGTTAATGCATGCTTAACTCAAGGTTAAATTGCCTAGAGAAGTTGGCATAAGTGTAGTGTATCTGATACTGATACAAGCAAAAAAAATATCCCCTAAGTATGGTATCTGAATGTGTATGATGTGTTGCATATGCTTTAAACCAGGGGTCTCAAACACGCGGCCCGCTAGACAATATTTTACGGCCATGACGGCAAAGTTTAGTGTTAATGCGGCCGTGCGTTTTCCCCATTCTCATATCTATAATGTGACCCTCCATGACTGTTTCAGTTGAATCTCAGACTAGTCTAATTCTGATTTTTATTATGTTTGTATAGATTTAGACGTTGATTTTAATGGTAAAAACCATTGAAAAAAAATCAGACTAAAAGTAAAAGTTTTTATTTTATAGAATTTTATGAAAAAAACATGACCAAAGTGCGGTTTTGAGAAAAGTTTAAAAAGCCAGATAGTTGGTAATGCACAACCATAATTGTGTAAATCGTAGCAACCTGGCACAGTGACAAAGAGTCCCTATTAAAATTGCCACTAGTTTTTACAAGTGACAAATTCCAAGCTTGTCAGCTTGGTCACTTTCAAAATAAGGTGGTTGTTACTGTACTAAGTGATCCCAAATGGCACATGGACTTGGCTTTTCTTGTTGACATTACACAGGAGCTGAATGTACTCAAAAATAAGTTATAAGACCAGGGGTAGCTTGTCAGTGTTGCCAATTACAATGTCAGGGCATTCTGCACAAAACTTGTGCTATGATTCTTAGAGAAACCTCTGCCATTTCATACCATTCAAAGTACTCATGTACTCGGGCACACCCATCAGTAGTAAGTAACTGATGCCATTGCAAGGCTACAGGAAGAAGTTGATCACATGTTGTTAGACTTCAAAACAGACAGAGCGACTTTTCAACTTTTTGCTGACCATTTCTCCTTCAATTTGGAAGATGCAACAACCCCCCACCCCCCTCCCCCATTGCGCTTCAAATGGAACTAATCCATCTTCAGTGCAATTCTAAGTTAAGGGAGGTGAATGGAAAAACAGACAAGCATGGATAATTTATGAGAGCATTGCCCTCCACCTTCCCTCAGATTTCCGGGTTATTGCCTTTTTTTGGGAGTACTTATCTGTGGGAAAAACTCTCTTCCACTATGAACTTTTATAACAAGTCAAAGTTCAGGGCCAAACTTACTGATGAGCATCTTCAAGCTATACTGGGAATCTCGGTTGCTTCCTCACTCAAGCCAAATGTTGCTCGGCTGTGTAAGAAGAAGTGCTACCAGATCCCTGGCAACAAGGTGTAGGAGGCAGAAAGTGAAGCGTAGTTCTTGAGAACCCTTAATGTTTTTATTTGTTATTAATAAAGATTCATCAGATTGTAACAGTTGTACTTTATTGACTTTGCAATCGCTTTTTTTGTGGAATACTTGATGCGGCCCAGTCTCACTCGGACTCTACATTCTGCGGCCCTCGGATGATTTGAGTGAGACCCCTGCTTTAAACTATTTTTGATTATGAAAATGAAAAGAGATATACTTCTAATTCTAAATACGTTACATTGGGAAATGGCATCGGTGGGCTGTCGATCACGAGTTCTTAATGCCCCCCTACCCGGCACACCTCCACACGGGCCAGGCCCCGGGTTTCCCCGCCGACACCCCCCCACACGGGCCAGGCGCCGGGTTTCCCCGCCGCCAGACCGGGTGGAGGCAAGGCAGGAACGAACCCCCCCCCCCTACCCCCGCCTGTGGGATTTCAGGTCGACCGAAAATGCTGCGTTTAAAGTGTTCACATCGACTGTCCCAGAAGGTTTGGGCGGGTTTGCTTCCACTCCGGGGGAAACGTTGTGGCGTTACCCCCCCCCCTACCACACACACACTGCGCAGGGGGTCTTCCGGTTGGGATGAAACAGTTGCCTTGGAGCTGCTTTCTCACGGCTGCGTAGCCTTCTAATTCTTAGAAGACTTGATTCTTCTTCTTCTATATTATATTAAGGCCCATGATCAATTTATTGATCATTCTGGCTCCTATGCATGTAGCAGGGATATGTAATGGTTCTGTGCCTAGTGTTAAAGAGGATATTTAACTGGTTGCAAGGCTAGTGGGGGTTGGAAGGCCTGAGGCAAGAGACGCAAATGTTTCAAGTGTTTTTGTCTTAACTGTTCCATTTGGAAGCTTGTTCCAGTCTCTGATTGTCTTTGCCAGGAATGAGTAGTTCCTGTACTGGGTTCTTGCTGGTATGTGCTGGAACTGCCTGTCATGGCCTTGTCGCTGTCTATGGGGGAGAGGGACGAGTTTCTGTTTAATGCTAGAGCAGTGGACCAGTCAATTATTTATCTTGTACATCATGGAGAGCCTGGATAGACGTCGTCGATCCTCCATTGGTGACCTGCCCAGTGTTTCCAGCATGCTGCCAACACTAGAGGTATTCCTGTATCGGTTCAGGACAAAGTGTGCTGCCCGTCGCTAGACCGCCTTCAACCTGTCGATGCTCTTCTGGGTAAATGGGTCTCAGACTGAAGATACGTAATCTAAAAGCGGCTGGACAAAGGCTTTATAGGCCTTTTCTTTCACACTGGAGTTGCAGATTTTTAGATTTCGTCTTAAGAACCCAAGTGTCTTCTTTGCCTCGTTGCACACATTGTTTATATGCTTGTTCCAGCAAACCTCTCTTTGAATGGTAACACCAAGGTTCCTTACGGAGGAAATTGGCTCAAGTATATGGCTATGCAGTTCGTAAGGGTGGTGTAGAGGATTATAACTTCTAGAGACTGACAGTGCTTATGAGATTTAATTATAATTATATCCTTTTCTTATGTGCATATTTACTGTGAATATTTTTAGATGGAAAAATAGTGGAAGAGGAGTCAATTGAGGAAGAGAAACAAGAACCAAGGAAACCTGCAGCTGCCTATGATCAAGAAGAATCATTTGATGAAGATGAGGAGGATGATGAAGAAGAAGCTGTTGTAAGTTTCTTTTTCTCAACCTAGCCATTCCACTGCTTTAATTAATTATTCAATGGTGCATCACTGGTATTTAGTTTTTTCATAGTAAATTTTTTTATAACTAGTCAGTTATAATGACAAACTGAAATAACTATACCAGTTGTGCAAGGGCTTATTATGTCAATGGTGACAGATAGAAGTACTTCTTGAAATGGTTGTGACATCACAGAATTAGGTTATCAGTTTAGTATGGTATTTGAAGAATTCATTTTTAAAAAAAAGCTATTACCTGTAAAATAATGACACTGTAGTGTAAAGAATTTTATAAATAATTTTAAATAAATAATTTTAAAAGAAACGCATATACATATCTAAAAATGCTACATTATTCCAAATGATGTCTTTAGTTTCAGACAGGCATAGGATGGGAATTATGTTATTTGAATTTGTCAAAATTAAAATGATCTATGCCCACACTAGGGTTTCTTAAGCAGGATCCCGCATGATATTTAGTAAACAAAATTTTCCCAAGAAATTCTCCCATCACAGTATATTCCGGGAACAAACTTTTTAGAATGCAATTTTCTAGCAGTAAGTCACAGATTTTCACATATTGTTGTTATGAGCCATGACAAAAAAAGAATCTTGTTAAATGCACTGAATTATGAAGCTATGTTACTCTATTGCACAGGTTCTCGAGCAGTTTTAAGTCAGGACTTCGTTTATATAGAAGCAAAGTGACCCTTTCAGTGTTATATTGATCAAAAAAGCTTTGGGTAAATTCTTGAAAATAAAAACATGTGAAAATAAGATTTTCAGTATTAAATAATTGTCATTTTCAAATTTGTAATTCCTTTTTTTAAATTGTAATTCAAAACTGAAAAATAATTAAAAAAGAAAACTATTTAAAAATCATGAATTCTCTTAGTCAATCGCTTAGTATCCCGATTTGAGGTCACATCCCATGAGCTGGGAACATGTGCTCTTGTAACTTGACTGTACCAGGCTTTTTATGTGTCTAACTACCTTATTATTCTGTTGTGGGTTTTTTTTACTTCCAATATCAACCAAGTAAGAAATGTACATGGTACATGTATACAGATATCTTAAAATATATTAACAGTTTTGTTTTTTTCATTCAAAACAGGCAGAATTGTTACAAGTTGTTCAAAAAATTTGCTTCTAAATATTTAGTGATGGCTTTGAAACTAGAATTTGCGACCTGTAAAGCTGTTAAGAATTCAAATGTCATATAAAGTGCAAAGGTTTTTTTTCATATCCGACTTTTGCTTCACAAGATTATTAATAGCTAGTTATCCATTACTTAGGCTAAGCAGGGGAATTGAAGCAACTAGTAGCAAGTGACTAACCTTCACATTGTTTTTTATTCATTAATAGACAATAAAAATTAAATAATTATAAAACCAATTCTTGTATAGTTTAATTCGGTTTATAATATAATTCGGTTTATAAATATAAATTTCTCTTCTGAGAAGAGTAAATTTTGTCCCCTTTTCTTGCAAAATGAGAAACCCTAGGCATTGAATGAATCCATTTTGGAAAAAAAATTAAGTACTACTTTACTTGTTTATTTGTCTCACTGTTAATATATTTTAAAATTTAAATCCTTGTTTTAAAACATTTTAGGGGGATGATGAGTTTGAGCACCTTCATGACGAAGAAGAATTTGAAAATTTTGATAAAGACAAAGATTCTTCTAAAAGTAAAACCCCAGATAAACTTCCAGATTTACAGATTGCAAAGGTAAGAAACAAAATGTTCATGCAATTTGCAATTTGGAATTTAAAATAATTTTTTTAAAGTACCAGTGATGATTTTTTTTTTTTGTGTACAGTTTTTTTGCAAATTATTGTTTATAGGAAAAATATATTTCTTAATCACTTAAGCCTTAATATCTTAATGTAAATTTTATGGCTGCTTAATTAAATAATAATGAGTTATGTCTTTTGATATGATACATTTGTTTATTTATTGTTTGCCATAAAATACTTTTTACTTACTTATGTAGGAAAAACGGAAAATGCCATTTGATTATCACTCAATTAGCTTTGGGTGGACTTTATATTCATTTGTTATCAGGTACCACTCCATTTGAGAACAAGCTGGGATAGCTTTTATCTGGAGATGTTGATGATTGCTGGACTCACTGTTTATTTTCTCAATTTTCTTGCTGGGAAGACAAAGAACTGTAAGCTAGCAACAGCATGGTTGACTGCACACAAGGAGCTGTTGGAGACTCAGTTTAGCATTGTTGGTATGTAGTTTGTCAAGATATAAGGTAGTGATAAGTCTAATTTTATAATAGACTGATTAAGGATGTTCAAACTTGTACCCATTACTTTTTTTCCTTCCAGGTGATGATGGCATCGCAAAAGAAGTATCATCAGGAACTCTAATCAAAGAATCAGAAAATGTTTATGCCCTTTGGTGCAGTGGTCGATCCTGTGTAGAAGGAATGTTGGTTGAGTTAAAACTACTTAAACGACAAGACCTAATCAACTTGTTACTTAGGGTATTTAAGCCAGCATCAGATCAAGTGGTAAGCTAAGCAAAAATAATGAAGGTACCCCCAGTTTTGAGATATATTTCTTTTATTGGAAATTTTGAAAAGAAAATTTCATGCAGGATCCCCACTCAGTTTGGAAAACAGGAAATAGTCGGGAATTCATTTTTTTAAAAATTTCCAGGTTGTGAAAATCTGGAAAACGAGCATCCTGGTAAGGAAATTTTCCAGCTAGTCAGGAATATTTTAATTTTAAAAAAATATTAATAAATTTGGATTCCATGAAAACTGATGTTAATCGCCGATCTCATCTATTTTGCTACAATGCTAGTGATTTGCCTGTAACTGCGCATGCATTTTAAGCTCTACAAGTTTTTAAAAAATGAACTTCGTACCGTACTGCTCTGATAGACCAGAAATATTTGTTTTCTGTTCAGTTCGCCGATCAAGAGATGTTTTGGTAAGTAGGTTTAAAATGTAGTAAATAATTATTTGAATCTAGTTTTTAATTGTGAGGTAACCATTATAAATAGAAATATGCGTCAGATTTAAAAATACAACAGATGTGCCTAATTTGAATTAGCAATTTAAAAACAAATAATTGTAATGAGAGAAGCTTTTGGTATTATTCATAGTTCTATCCCATGACCAAAGTTGCGGCATTTGATTTTTAAATGTAGGCCTTTATGATACTTTATCTACAGCAAAAACATTGACATGTATTTTTAATTAGAGCTAGGCAGCCTTTAGCTTGTAACTTTAAGACTTTAAGTTCCCTTTAAATTTAAATATGGAGTAGGCCTTCTAAATAGGCTAATATGATTTAGTATTTTGTGATATTGTTTTTGCATAGCGTGGTTTACTAGTTTCAAACCCGTTTACTCTTACAATTTTGTTGTACAATTTACAATTTTGAGGTATCTAATACGATTGTACACTAAGACCTGTTAAAATTACGATTTTTAGAGACCAGTTTGAAAATATATACAATTTTTTTTTTTTTTAATATTAAAAAGTACATTTTCTGTGTTAGTTTTAACTAGCATTTGCATTCTACGTCCAGCAGTAAATGGATCGAGAAGTAGGATAGGAGATTGTATGTACAGGTGTGGAGGGGGGGGGGTTCCTGAATATTTAATTCTGTAAAATTAACACCCCAACATTTTTGTAATGAAGTGGTATGGCCCTATTGTTGCTTTGTGTTTTCATAATGAACTTGCTAGACATGGCTACTAAAATTTACAAAATTTGTTTTGTCAATCCAGGGCCATGCTTATGAGTCAGGGTGGGGGGGGGGGGTTGATTATTTAGATTTTGCTTATACGGGCATATAGTTATTATTATTACTACAATGGTCTTATATAACGGTACCCCAGGCTAGGGCTAGGCTCACAACGCTGCACATAAAAATATTAGCAAACATAATCATGACTTTAAAAAAAATTACATATATTTATTTAATTAAAAAACAGCTATATAAAAACTAAAAAAACCCAACTATTTACATGTCAAGCCATGGACGGCACCCAGCAGCATCGTTAATCGTTCAAAGGGGGATGGGAATGAGTTTGGATAAGATAAGATTCTTTTATTGATCCAAACAAATGGAAATGTTTTATGATTGCATTGTCATTGTACATTTTCAGCACATATAAAAAAACAATTTGAAACAAGACATTTTTAATAAATTTTTTCACCAGCATCCATTCAGTTAGTTCTCTTAGCCATATCAGGGACTTATTAGTTCTCATTAAGATTTGTGACTTCAGGGGGAGCACGCTGGTAAATTCGTACAGTTTGGGGAACAAAATAATTTTTATATCTTTCAGTCCTCGCCCTGACGGAAAGAATTCGTCCTGAACGGGCTGATCCTAAGTATCTGTGATGAAGAGGGTGGGATGTATCATCCAACATGTGTTTAATTTTAGTTATGTTTTAATAGATATGTCTTGAGTGCAGTTTTGAAGGCCTGGATGGTCGGTATATTGCGGATGTATAGTGGGAGAAAATTCATTTGTAATTGTGGGGGGGGGGGGGGAATTTAGGAAGAAAGTAGGTTTTTTATTTAAAATTTAAACAAAATTCATCCTGAAAGTCAAAAAGTAACATTTATATCTGGAATACTGTGAAAATACGCTATGCTTTTTAGGAATAATCAATCATAATGTTGCCATACATTTTCACAAATGAACTGGCTAGATATAAGTAATATTTAGTCCACCGTATGACCAATGTACTTGTAATGTAGATTTTGTTGGGCTATGCCAGTGGTTCTAAAATTTTCGTTTCCCAAATCTATGCCAAATTCACGTTTTCATCAGGCTCCCTATGTTGAATTCTTACAAGTACATTTCAAAAAGGTGAATACATACACAAAATAAATAAGGGGTTAGGTAAAAATAAATATAACACGTATTTACGAGTGTCAACTCGTAACTGAAAACAGTAGTTACTCAAGTGGGTTTTTGCGCCATGACAACTGGATTTAAAAGAGGAAATATAATTATGAATACGCATGTGAGCACGACACAGCAACCCATATAGAGAAAGGGATGGAGGTCATAAAAGAATTGCGCATGCAACAGCGGGGAGGAGGGTTGATAATTTGACTTTTTTCTTACGTACCATATAGATGCCCCCCCCCCCCCTTCTGCTTGTTTGCGTTGGTGCTGTACTACGTAATTTTGTAACATAATTATTTCTTATGGTTGAACCGCGTTGAGTGCAGAAACTTAGAAAACTAGAGGATGCATTCTTCACTGTTCTGCACAGCATCATTAGATTTCAACATTTTAAGAGAATCTGGGAGGGCATTTATTGTCTGATAATCAGTGCTTTGTTGTTCATCTAGTCCAGTGTATACTTCCAAAACTCTACCTTTCAATAGTGACCCTAGAAAGTTTCCCCATTGTCCTTCTGGCCACTGATTGGCTTTTGCTGAGCGCTCAAATCTTTTGAGATAATTGTCCAAGTCTTCCTTTGTGTCGTCAAACGGAGGTATGCGCGGTCCCTTCACGACAGGTCGTCTCACTTCACTGAGCCCATTGTTGTAGTCACCCTCCCCGTCCAAGCTTCTATTGTTGGGACTTCGTTTGGACCCGTCCCCATTGTCTGACATCCCGTTTACTCCTACTTGCCTCGATTTCAAGTTGTAACTGTAATTTACGTATCTCAAAGTCTCGCTCCCTTTGTTTTTCATCACGGTCGGCCTGCTTCTGTCTTTCTTCATATTCCATCATGAGTCTCTATCTAACTTTCTCTTCTTCATACAATTGTCTAAACTCAGCTTCGCTCACACCTTTCTTTTTAGCAGCCCTGAGTGCTTCTAAGTATTCCATATTACACTAAAATTATCTGAAGATTGAGGAAAATCTACAGTAAAATCAAGCAATAACAATTATCCTAATATATATAACCGTGAGGCTCAATAAGCAATTAACTAGATACAAATATGCACAATCTTAACTACAATTATGCAATATAAATTAACTTAAACAAAAAACAATTGCTATGATCCCAATTCTGACACCAATTTGTCACGAGCTCCTTCACGCTACGTAACGCTTGGGTCTAAATTCTACCCTTTCTGACACCACCTTGTTTGAACAAAATAAGGAAACACAACAAACATACAATAACAAAGAAGTTTTCAATTAACTTAAAATAACTACTTCTAGTTTATTATCTACAATGTATAAATGTTTATAAAGGTCAATCATCTGATGAGACTTCATCTATCGAGTTCAATTTCAGATTTATCACTTATCTGAGCTGTCCACTTCTAAAGTCAACCTCCCTAATGTATGTGTCCAAATATGAAACCCTAATTGGAGAGATTTTATTGGAGAAACTAAAGTGTGTTTACTCAAACTATCCATTTTCGTCGCTTAAAGAAAACATTAACTTCATATAAGAACAGATGCTTTCCACTTTCTAAAATGTCACGGAAACCTAACTGCAAAAGTTGCTCTTGCACTTTATAAGTAAACATAAACGACTTTTCAAGTCTAATTAAATAGAAAAATTGCAATGGCTAGGGAATTTAATAAATATTTACATGGATTCATGTATACACCTTTATTGCTTAATTTTATTCATTTTTGTTGTATTTCAATGTTGTTTTTACTTGTTCAATTACATGCATTATATAATCAACAAAAATGCCCTGTTGCAATAGTCAGAATTTTTTTTGTTCTAGAAAAAGTAGGACATTTTGTTTTTTAAAAAAGAGTGGGAACCCTGTTCATGAATTATCCTGCTTGTTGTAATGCTTTATTTTTTTGCTAATCATTTGTATGTTGGATACATTTGTGTTAGGTTATAAAGAAATTGGTTTATCTGTTTTTTTTTGTTTTTTGTTTTACAGATAGTCAAAGTGGACCTCAGTAATGACAAAATGGAAAACTTTGTGTTCTGCGTTGCTCAAAAACGGTCAGCAGCAAAGCTCCATAAAGAGATGAATGATTTGGTTGGTTTTTAATTACCAGTTTAAAAAAAACTTCCAAAGACCTTATCTTTCAAACTGATTTTTTTTTTTCTTCTGTTATATAGTTTTTAAAATTTCCACACCAAAAGAATAATTTTAAGCACAATGTACATACCACGGTTGCCAACTCAAAAATATAAAAATTTATGGACAAATATTCTAAGTCTCCACAATTTTTCACAAAGGATGAGTTACCCTATTTTGTTTTGCTTCATTATCCAAAACATCTTATGTTTGTATAATTTCTCTTACAGATTTTATGGAAAACTATTTAGGTCTAATTTTTAAAGATTGCCCATAAATAACTGACATCTAGCAACCCTGGTAGATTGAAAGAAACAAGATATTTAAAAACACCTGGCCTTGATATTTTTAAAAAAAAACATGCTCCAATAAACAGACATTTTTAAACAAGTGGGTTATTAACTGACAGAAAGATATTGTTTATACTTGTACATATTCGAAAATAATGATACTAACCAAACAATTTTTCACTATTCTTACATTTATGTAATGTTGGTAGGGGAATTCATGGTGCAGGGCTGCTTAAACGTTTTGGTCTAAAGACCCGATTTTGGTTTTTAACATGCCAAGAAAGGACTCGTTAACCTTGGATGGCAACTCATCTAAGAGAAGGAAACTCTGAATTCAAAACCCGGGGATGGAGTCCTGTAGGCGGATAACAATGAACCAATTCGACAACTCCTGCGATGCCACTGGTGCCAAGCTGTATCATCCACATGATGTTTATCCAGCGGCGTGGAGAGAGGCGATTTGCTGTTGGGAACCAGCTTATGATCCTAGAACTAGAAGAATTATCCCAGGCCTTGTGGAATTCGTCCTGCGAAGTCCACACCGTTGTCACATTGTGACGGACGGATGCCCTTAAAAAAACATGCCAAGAGGGTTGATCCCACTGCCAAGGGAATTGCTACTTTGACTTATGTTAAAACCTATGTTATTATAGTTTATGTTGCCAAAGCCTCCATTGGTGACACCATAGGTTATTTTGTCTTATAAATTCAACATTACCTTTAGATTAGAATATTGCATATCAACCTTTTAAAATAAATGAATTTTATCGATAGAATTATGCTAGTTATTAACAGTGAACATTAGTTTTTCTGTTTGTCTGTGATCACACTGTGATCAAAACATTATCATGACCTTTACTGCTAGACTCCTGATGTTAGATACTGTAATTTTCAAACTGACTCGCACCAGAGACAGCTAATTCTTGGTCACAAATTTTCAGTTTCCAATTTTTATTCCCTGAATCAATGATTATCAGCTTTTTCAAATTAAAGAGCAGCATTACTAATTGTGGGAAAGGTAGCTGTGACAGTAGCTGTAAAAGCCACCATTAGGATGAACAATAAATTATTATAAATTGATCTGTAACAAATATACAAATTCCTGACAGTGCTGCAAAATCTTTATATTGGCTTAATAACTCATATTTTAATTTATTTTTACTGTGAATCAAATAAACATTGGTCCAACTGTTCTTTTAACACAAAAATACTGAATGTTTTAAAATGCAACAGCTGACTTGTTTCTAGAACACTGGCAAATAGTGCATGTTTTCTACTGAAAAGAATGGAACTTATTGTGAAGTTTCATGTCTGTCAGTCTATATCATACCTTACAAGGTCATTAAAGTCCAGCAAAAAAATTCATTAGTTTCCATCTTGTCCAAATTAGTGAAAAACTTCACAAACTGTGCGTCTTTTGACTTTACAAATTTGAGAAACTCGAACACATTCTCAATGATTTTTCAAAACTATCCTGTGCATAGTCATCTTACTTAAATTATTGGGCAAAAGCAAATCACCATGTTCAGCATATGACTTATTACAGATGCTTTTAAATGGAAGATGATTAAACGTTATGGAGTCATGACAGTTGCCATACTTAAGCTAACTCACTGTTTAGTTTTGAACACAGAAATGTATGATGCAGTAATATATATCAAATTTGGTTGAACTGCCTTGAGACATGAATCCACCTTTATGGGTTGGGGCAATGGGTAGTATAGGTGTTCCTAGTTTAATGAAGATGATGTTTGTATTTTAGGTCTAAGACATGAGACATGGCAGGTGCTTTACTTTAAAAATTATTTGTTTTTCACAATTTGTAAATTGCCGCAGGGCAGTTGAAATCGCCTGGTGAGCCAGATTTTGAATACCCCTGTCATATTCATAAGGTGTTGTCCTTTCGTGAAGTAGCGTAGCTGAAGAAAATAAGCATGGTCTAATATAGGACAACTTTTCTCACAAGTAGCATTTTAAACCAGCAGGAAATCTACCTGGAAATCTAGTTTGATCCTTAAAACTTCTTCATCAATACTTTTCCTGGTATTTAGGTGGTATTAATTGTATTTTCACTAATTGTTTAACTACATAATACATTTTAAATAATCTTCATTTGTTTTAAAAACAATGTTGTCTAAACTTCTTCTCTGATTCTTCCCTTAACTTTACTAATTTCTTTTTTCTCAAATGACAATCTGCTGCAATTATCAAAAAATCACTATATTTATATATTTATATTCAAAGTGGATATTAAAAAAAAATTTATTATAATATTATTCTGCTCATTATTCTATGCTAATTAGCTTGACTTTTCTTGTGTAATGCGCTTCAATAGTCTTTGCTTAAATCATCTTTGAGATTAACTCTTGAATTTCATTTTCAGAGTCAATTTACTGAGAAAAAGAGCACAGAGAAATATGACATACCTTCCTCCTACCAACTTTTGTCTGAGATAGGAGAGGGAACAGCAGCTGTGTTAGATAAAAAAGTAACTTACTTTAATTATTTTAAAGTTAAATATTTTAAAAGAGGAGGAGACATGTGACAGTACATATATATTTATAGATATAAATTTATATTTATTTATACATATCTTTATATTTCTCTATTTATATGTATATATTTATCATATAAGTATTATAAAAGTTAAAATTTGTGAGTTTCTTTGTTTTCCCCCCATATGTTTTTTCATGGATTGATGGATTTTGATCAAACTTGGCACATCTATCCATCATTATCCAGAATAAAATTCTGGGGAGTTTTGAACTTTAAAGAATATTCCTAAATTAGAAATATATTTTTTTCTTAAATGAACTATATAAATAAAATTACCAACAAATACTCCTGCATGAAAAGATGGATCTTGACCAAACTTAGTACACATACACTTAATTATCCATATTCAAATGCACTACTATAGCTATAGTACATTTAAGGTGAAAGAGGGGCCCCAGCGGGGTCCATTCCATAATTGTACCAATTTAGTTTTATCTGAGATATGGGGCCTTATGAAAATCAGTCAGATAAATAATAAAGTTAAAATTTCAAAGTTGTCCAATTAAAATCAGTTTTAAAATACCATAGATATAGCTTTTTAAAATTATAGAACTTTCCGGAAAATTCTACATTGGGTATTATTAGTTCTATATGAACTATGAAGGTTATTGCTACCAAACTAGGCTTAGATCCATCATTTCACATAGAACCTATAGTGTTTTCTAAGCCTTTTGATATTTATATAGCTTATATAAGGAAAAATGAAACAAATTCGGGGTCCTAGGCACAAATGGAATGTTAAAATTATTCATAACTCCCCTAGAGTTCCTTGCGGACAATGATGGATACATGTGCCATGTATCAACCTATGTAAAAGCCTTTGTTGAACAAAGCCACAAACAAACAAACCCACAAACAAATTTTCACTTTTATATATTATTATATATTAAAAAACGGAAGCACTCCTTATTCACGATCACAAACCATCCTCTAACTCAGCTCTCCCCACTTCATTTCATGTAGGTAACTCCGATATACAGTTGACATTCTCCGCTAGGAATCTTGGTTATAATCTGTCTAACAAAATTTCTCTCGATAATCACATCTCTCATATTTGTCGCTCTGCATAAACCGCTATTCGTCACATTAGCTCCATCCGCCAATACCTAACAGTTATTGCAACAAAAACCCTAGTCTGTGCTCTAGTTCTCTCTCGTCTTGAATATTGTAACTCTCTTCTATCAGGTTCACCAAAGCACTTCTTAGAAAATTACAAAAGGTTCAAAACTCAGCCGTTAGGCTTATTCTAAAGGCAAAAAAATGTGATCACGCACACCACTACTTCATTGGCTCCCTGTACAAGCACGGATTGACTACAAACTCTCTGTTCTCTGCCAAAACTTTTTATCGAATTCCTCCCCTCCCTATCTAACAGAACATCTCTTGTCTATTCACCCCTTCGACAGCTTCGCTCCTCCGCAGATGTGCATATTCTTTCTGTCCCCAAGACTCGCACAAAAACATACAGTGAACGATCGTTCTCTTTCTGTGCCTCAAACAATGGAATTCTCTTCCATTACACATCCGCAACAGCCTTCAAAACTTCACTCAAAACACATCTTTTTTAACTCTACTATCCTGACTGATTCCCACCTCTGACCGAAAAATGATGCTACTGGGTGTCATCCTTGGCTTGAGATGTAAATAGTTTTAAATATACATTTGTGTTGTTTTGTTTAATTACTGTATGTCAATTAATTTTTAAGGTTTTTTTTATTATGTTTGTTAAATTCTATGTACAGCGTGGTGAGCCCAGCCCTAGGCTGGGGTACCACACCATATAAAACCACTTATAATAATAATATATATTTATATATATAAATATATGATATGAGACATGTATGTATGGAGAATTGAAAAACGTAAAGGAACTATATTTCCCTTACAATTTCAGGGTCTAGGTAACTGCATTAGTAAATAATCAAGTGTATTGTCATTGCAATTTTCGTTACTGATTAGTAGCCTGCAGTGTTTTATAAAGTGCAAAATTTAAAAGTTTCCTGTGTTTTGTCTGCCTTCGATGACAATAAACTGGAATTACATTTTGGATGTTGTATCAAATAAATTAAACATGTTTAATGTCACCATTGAAAATTTTCAACCAGGTGTGCCAAATGTTGACCAAATATGAAGGTGTGATTGAGTATATTCATGTGTCTGATCAGTATTCCGGTCCTAAGCTCCAAGAGTAAGTTCAAATTTAAAACTGAAAACACTTATCTCTTATTTTATATATTTTGCTTCTGGTGTGTCCTGCTTACTTGTTGAAACTGCCCTCCTCATAACTCCACAAGTTTTATATTAAAGTACTGAGTGAAAAAAAAAATGCTGTCATGTGTGACATGTGAACTCAGGTAAAAAATAAATTCATTAGTGGCAGGCGACTTTTATATAATCAATAAAGTTCCACTGGTATGTTGTAGGACTGTCTGTTGGACTATTGTTTAAAGGCTGGCAGGTAGTGTGTAGGTCTGTCTGTAGGTCTAATGTTTAAAGACCGGCAATTAGGGTGAAGGACTGTCGGAAGGCCTATTTTTTAACTCTTTCGCTGCTGAATTTTTTAATTTAAAAAATGTATATTTTGTTCAAAGAGCAAAAAAAGAGTGAGGTTGGGGTTTATTAAAAAATATTTTAAATATTATTTTTGGGGTTTATAAGACTATACTTGGTATCATGAAAGATAATTGAATGAATTATATGTTTATAAACGTATTTCTTCAGTTTCAATGAAAAAAATAACAGAAAAGAACCATAAAATTTGAAATCATTATATGCTAAACCATTTTTTCTCCCCAACCTATGATGTACGCATACCTCATCTTCACTTCTATGATTCAAATCCTCCTACACTCTGAATCATGCGATGGATCAAAATATAAATCATCTTTACTTTCAAAATAAATAGTATAAAACAATTCCAAAGCTTTTTGAGCTGTTAATCGTCTAGGAAACTAGACTAGGGCCTAGTGTAGCCGTAGCAAGAGTAGAAAAAAATCATTAAAATAATGCTTCAAATGACAACAAATTAACCTTGCTTTCGCTTATACACAATGAGGTACCACTCTTCTATGAAAAAGTCTTATTTAAAAATAGCTCTTAAAAAGTTTAACCAAGAAATAGCAAAGAAACAAACATGATATTGAAACAACACAGAGCTCGCTAGTCTGTGCTTTTTAGAACGTCGGATGAATGCACTGTTTGTGCTGCAGCGTAAGAGTTAAAGGCCAGGAGGTAGGGTGTAGGACTGTCTGTAGGCTTATTTCTCAAAATACCCAGACCCGGTGTAACAAAACTGCATTCAATTAAGCCCTAGTTATTAATAATTTGCTACTTAAAAATATATTGCTTTCACATTTAGAGATTATACCTATTAAACTAATAAGGTTTTCAAATTGACATTTTAATAACCTGAATAACCCAACTAATTGGCATTACATCATTTGCTGACAATATTCTAAATCTATATTCAGAATACATGGTAAAAATTTTTAATTAAAATTTGATAGATTGACATTTTGATAAAATATGTTCACCTTTCCTTACAGAGATAATCAAACCACTAAGATGCCTGAAACAAAACCATGTCTAATATTCTGCTTTACAAGTAAGCTACAAGCACTAATATTAATAGAAAAAAATACTTTAAAAAGATCAGACTTATTGTAAAAAAAAAACAAATTCAGATTGTGGTTAATTTGAATTAGTGTAAATTAGAGTAGCACTAGTTGATGAATGTGGTCTAAATTCTTTCATTATAAATTACAATATATCCATTCAGTTCCTGGTAAGGGTAAAACTCGTACATCTGATATGGAAAACTTAAAACCCCTCATGCAATTGGTGTTCTACTGCACTGACAAGGTGACTCGACTCCAGCTAAGCAAAGAGGTAACAATATACATTTTTTTTAGAAGGTCTGTAATGGCTTGCCAATTGTAAAAATATTAAAGGTATTCATTTCAAATAGTTTGTATTAAAATGACAGCGCACATTATTATTCTAATTGATATTTTGACTTAACAAAATAGGCCAGGTTCAAAGCAGAGAAAAATCGTCAGAAAGCTGAAGAACTTTTCCTGAAAGCAGCTCATACACAAAGACAGGAACAGGCCCAGCAAAGAAGAGAGGAGAGAAAGAGAGCTGAAAAGGAGAAACTCATGGCTGAAGAGGATCCAGAGAGGGCTCGCAAGCTTGAGGTAAATTAAAATATTTGTATTTCTTTTCATTTTAAGATATTATCATTATCTTTGAAATCAGAACAAGACAAAGTGGAGTTCGATTATATTATAAGCAAGAGACTGCTGCTAAGCATCCAGACCGTTGACAAGTGAAGTTATTAATTATTAGATTAAAATTTAGCATTAGAATGCATTGTATTATTTTTCCCAACTCTACCCCATACTTTAGCTATGTAGGTTTGATTACAATGTAGCATAATTGAAGGTCCTGTTACTAAACACTGGTTACATCCTTGAAAATTCACTTGGTAATTTTGTGTACCAGTATGTAACTAAAAAAGAAACTTCTGTCTTATTTCTTATCTTAAGAGTGCTTGCAGCCTATGCTTTCAAATTAATGCATTCTTGAATTTGTATTATACTTTATCATGCTGGATTAAGTTTAGTTACTTTTAGAGTCATGTGTAGTCACTCTCTTGTAATATAATCTAAATACTCTATGCGATTTAATTTTTTTAATGACCAGTATCACTATTTCTCTTCATTTGTCAAAAGGATCGTGAAAGCCGCCGTGAATCAAAGAAAAAGCAGCCTAAAATGAAGATGATGAAAATCAAAGCTATGTAAAGTTCTAACTTACAGAAAGATATTTTCATCAGATTTTTATCCATGATGATTAAAATACTAATTCTACAGGTTAATATGTCCATATGTGAGGTTTGTGTGAAAGAGCTATTGTTAAGGTGTTTGAGCAAAGTTAAATATGGTTCATAATGATTAAATTTCCTTGTAATCTGTTACATTTTTCTAATATTCATTAAATTATATCAATGCATTTAATAAATCAGACACCACAGCACAAGATTTATACGTTTATAACTATTATCAATATTTGATCATACTAATTACATCCGCAACGTACTGGAACATTATAGATGCTGCAGCAAACGATTGTACCTTATTGAGAAAATGTGTGCTCATTCTGGTTGTATTTCCCAATAATGGCACTGGACATTTCCTACATAAAGGGTCATGTTTTCGTGTAAGTAGCTTAGCTGAACATTAATTGAGCGATGATGAAGAAAGAAAAGATATTTTTAGTAATCTGTTTATTTTTATTAGAAGCAAATAACTTAATTTACACTGCTCAAATCCCAGCAGTTATAATATTTGCAATTGTTTTCTGCACAATTGTAATTTACTAAATCAAATGTATGTTGGTTGATGTTTTTTTAGTTCAAATTATTTTTCTGTTTTTAAATGTTCTTAACCTCTAATTATTAATAATCATGGGACAGCTTGATTAAAGTAAATATCAAAGTCAATTATTGGAGTTAAATGCCTGTACATACTGCAGAAATCACCCAACCTTCTAAGACTTTTCCCCATTAAGGCCAAGAGTCTAAGAATTTTTAGTCATATATTTTGAAACTATTAATACTATTAAAAAATTATTTTTAAAAAATTAAAAAGCATAAAAATGTTTCACTTATATTATATTTTGTTGTTTGTAAAAACATTTACTATTCATTTGGGTTCTTTCTATGACTATGATGCTAGAAATATGAAAATATATTCCTTTAACATACTTTGAATTTCCATTGCATTATTATGTGGATTTGCAAAGTGTAGACTGGTGTGGAAAGAATGTAATGGCCGTTCATTTCTGTCTGACATAAATATTCCATTGTAATTTAATATATTCTTTTGTGTCTTGCAGTCAACATAATTATTATACCTGAGTTTTATTATTTAGTTTAGTAGCAATATATCTAAATTTAAATGCCTTAAACATTTTTAAAAGGTATTTAATTTCATAGCAAATTTTTACCAAATAATAAATGCTTGTTATTTCTATACCAAAAGGTTAGATAAAAATAAAGTAATATTAGAAATTGAAAAAAATTCAGATTATTGTTAGTAGAAATGATGAGCCTGGACACATAGGCCTCATGTCATTCTCCACATTTATTTTCATGTGATACTTAGTTTCATCATAACATTATGAAAATTTCATAATATTTTTGGCGCCCCTGTGAGGAAGTTTTAGCTCCTCAGGACGCAGGTATCATCTAGTAAGGATTTGGAGAACCTGTAGAATAAACTACTAAACAATTTTAACACATTTGCTGAATTAAAACAAACTTTATTAAAGTACTTTCAGTTGGTCAACTGATTTGGAAAGAGCAACATAAATTCTCTCTTCTTAAATAAGTATTTATTAATATTCTATTTTACAACGCAGCCTTAAGGAAATTAGATTCACTATGGATTCTCAACGTTTTATATTTTAAATGCTTTAATTATATATTATAATCATGATAGGTTATAAGGGGACACTACAAATAAATTACATTTCTCACATTTTTATATCGTTAATATTAACTAGATTTTATTTGTGTTGATTTTTCTTTCAGTTTCAGTTTTCTAAAATGTGTAATAGAATTTAATGCCACATTACATCTCTGTTGGCGTTTGCGACAGTTTTGTTAAATTTTGTTTGAAATGTTTAAATGTATCTAGATTTTTCTTGATCCCATTTTCTTCATAAATGCAAATGAAATGTATAAATATTTAATTAGACATTTTGTTTTTTTTATATATGTAATTGTCCTTTTTGTAACAGAATTTTTGGTGATGTAATAAAAAAGTGGTTTTATTTGGTCATTTTTTTATTTGTAAACATTTTAAATTGGTGCTTACACCTTTTCTAAACAATTATGTTAAACGTAAATTTAGTGAACATCATTACCGGTACTGCATAAAAAGCTTTAAACTTTAAGAAAATTTTAAAAATTGATATTGTCTGCAATACTGAAGTGAGCACTTTAAGACCATAAAATGTAGAGCTCTTGTTTACCATAAAATTATACGTTTTTTTTAAATTGTGGTTTTAAAAAAAAGGGGGTGGGGGGAAGAAGAGATATATTAATATATATTTAAAGATTGTGTTATTATGCATACTTACTCTTTTTCATCTTTGCATCTTCCATTGGTCGTTGTGAGTGAAAGTAGTTAAATCAAATTAATATTCTTTAAAAATGGACAAAACATTTCCTATTATTAAAGTTCTGTGAACATCATTATATATATATATATATATATTATATATACTGTGGCATTAGCAATTTCATCCTGACATTTTGCTTTCAATATTCTCACTTCAAAAAAAAAAAACACAAACTCTTGATTTATGGGAAAACTTTTCACCATGCATGAATAAGATTAATGTTTAAAATGACCTTTATTCATGAATTATGTTTGCATTGTTTTTACGGAGGCAGAAAGTAAAATGAAAAGATAATTTTGACCCCAATGTTAATTTTGGTGTTTTTGTCATTGTTTCTGTTTCATTGTGTACCGGTATAGATTTAATATATTTCAAAAAACCTTTGCTGTATAGTTGACTTTAAAAATGTAAATTTTTAAGTCATTAACTTTGATCTCACATTCTGCATTACTTTTTAAGTAGAGGTTAAAACAAACTTGTTTTAATTTTTAGATATACCAACACAAAGGAAAAAGTGTACAAATGAAAGGTATGGGGACACAAAATTTCTAATGACACATTTTTTTAAAATATAAAATTTGCATGATAATAATAATATTAATAAGATACATTACCACATTTAATTTTAATGTGATTGTTACTTATGAATAATAGGAAAATATTTTCAAAAATATAAAAGCCAGGAATGCACTGATGGGCAAATGGGGCCTGATAACCCATAAATTGTTAGCAGATTATATTAATGTATTTTGCTATTAAAATAGATAATTGAAGCTAATTAATTTTAATAATTTCAAATTGATCACAATTATATGCATACTGTTTGTGTAACTGTTAAAGAGGTACTGGATTTGCTGCTGGTAAATGTAATTCTAATATACTTTAAAACATGAGCCACGGACCATCTATAAATTATGTTGTTGCTTTTCCCTTCTCTCAAAGCATCACAAATTTACAAAATTGTCACAAAAAGTTAGACACGTTAATCACAGATCATCTCAGATATGTAAACCCTAAATCTAGGTGCGTTAGGGATCGTTCATAAAAGACATCCGCAGGGATGGAGGGGGGGGGGGTTCGTTCAAAAGTGGACAAGGGTGGAGGGGCGTGTAAAGGATCTTGCTGACATCCACAAGCTAACATTTATATATATAATTATTATATACGGTTCTTTAGGGGCCGTCCATAAAGTACCTCACGCTATTTTTGTCCATTTTTAGTTAGGGATCGTTCATAAAAGACATCCGCAGGGATGGAGGGGGGGGGGTTCGTTCAAAAGTGGACAAGGGTGGAGGGGCGTGTAAAGGATCTTGCTGACATCCACAAGCTAACATTTATATATATAATTATTATATACGGTGCTTTAGGGGCCGTCCATAAAGTACGTCACGCTATTTTTGACCATTTTTACCCTCCCCCGTCACAAACTGTCACAAATCTCGGAACCCCCCCCCACCCCCTAAAAGTAAGTCACACTTTCGAACAAATTTTAAAAAAAATTAAGATCTAATTAAAATTAAATCTAAAACACATTTCACTATTAAACTGTAGGCCTATTAAAATATAGAATTTCCACTATAACATTATTAAAAGGACTTTAATAGTAGAAAAGTTAATTGTCAAAAGTTGTCACAGTTATTCATTGAAGCAGTAACGCAATCTAGATTGAATTTGAAAAAAAAAATTGCACAAATTTGACTAGACAATTATATAATTCACATCATTTATCTGCTGCTTTTTCATTTACAGTAGGTGAGGTCAAGTTTTAGATAATCTTCCGATTATGCAATCTTTGTACACAGGTTAAGAAGTAGATTAGAGAAAGTTGACCTCACCAAATGATTAAATAATAAAAAGGACAGTGACATAATTATGCAGCGGACAACATAGAAATAATAATACTTCAGGAAAGAGTAAAGCAAGGCTATACATAAAACAAGACTTCGCAACAGCATACTAGCGCTCCTAGCGAGAGGAATCGTGAACAACACATTCAGGAGATACGCATTTCATGCTATTTTGAAATAAAACTAATTCAAATGATACACACAATTTTTTAAAATTATTTTTAAAGCTATTAAATTCCACTAAAAAAACAAAAAATAAATAAGAAATTAATAAAAAATAAATGTGTGACGTCACACATGGCCTGACCCCCCTCCACCCTGTCACAAACTGTCACACTCTTACACCCCCTCCTCCCTTCTGGAGCGTGACGTACTTTATGGACGGCCCTTAGGTCCACTTTACCCTAAAATTGTGAATCTTATTGCAGCCAAATTGATGTTCAATCTTCGTTACGACAACCTGAAGACTGAGAAGACCTCGTTCATTTCTTCCCGCTTATTCCCTCATGGAAGTGTGTGGCTAATAGCTAGGCCTGCCCTTGGCGGCACTAACCCTAGCTACGCCCTGCTTGAGAACGGTAAATAGATCTAATTTATTTTTAAAACTTGATACGATGGAAACAAATAAAGTTACTTCATAACTCCGTAATTACACTTGTCCCAATAATAAAAAGGCAGACACAACACACACAAATAGTGCCGCCTGTTGATATTCCCAAATATAATCTTGAGAAGCAAAGCAAAAGTTCAAATTTTAATGACCTTTGATCAAATATATATTTAATTAAAGGAGCCATCCATAAATGATGTCACACTATTTTGGCAGAATTTGGACTCCACTCCTTCACCATCGTCACAAATTTGTCACATAATTTAGACACCCTCCCAAAAGTTTATCGTAAAATTGTACCACCCCCTCCCAATCCCCCCACCCCACATGCATGACATCATTATGGCTGACCCCTAAAACTAAAAGATTAACTGATTAACAATATTTGAGCACCGGCACCTTTTTTGTTCCAAAAAAAAACCCCACCCTGTTTCAGAATGACGGCACATTTATTAAAAGATGCGTAGGCCTATTTTATGTGGACCTCCTTTATGAACAACACATGGCATTTTAAAAAGACCCCTTTATACACATATTTCTTTTTATTTGTTGCAAACTTTCTAGATCCTCACCTCGGCAAACAGTTACATTTTTTTGTAGAGGAACAAAAAATCATTGAATGCACTGTACAATCTATTTAAAGTTAAAGTTTTGGAAGCAATTTAAATGGGTTAAATTTAAAACTTAATTTTTTAACAATCTTAGTCTGTGATTCAAAAACTAAATATATAACTATGTGATGTATTACGCTAGTGGCTAGTATGGTTTATAAGAGCTTGGAAATATTTCAAATAACCAAATAAAAACCATCACGTCTCTCCATACATTTGGCCTTGACCGATGCAGCCCTGAACATTTTCAGAAAGCGGCTGCCTAGACCATGGCTGTGTTTTCCAACATACAAATTTTCCAACATTCCAAATAATTAAATAATTTAGTTATTGCAGTGTTATGTCTTTAATCATCTTTCTAGAAACGAGGAAAAAAACACCAATGGAAGTAATTCGAAAACAAAATTCAAAAACATTTACCGCTGCTAATCAAAATGCTAGAAACTGATTGCGGCATTTGTTTAAAGGCAGCAACAACTAGGAATGGCAACAAGCACCAGTTTCTTGGTCTTCCGCTTATTGATATCTTAGTTTAATTCTGGTCATTTCTATACTTTCATGGGGATTTCCTCTAAACATATCCACTGGTAACACGATCCCACCAAGGAACGGGATCCTAATGGGGAACGACATTCAACAGTAAACTTAAACCCACCGGTAACGCGAAACCATCGAGTAACGGGATCTAACCGAGATGGGGTTCCATCGGGAAACGGGATCCCACCGGGAAACGAGATGCCACAGGGATAGGAATCCAAAGGATTTGGATCCCAAAGGGAAACTGTCTCAAGTATATGGCCATGCAGTTCGTAATGGTGGTGTAGAGGAGTACCACTTCTAGAGACTGACAGTGTCTGGCACTTGTTAGGATGAAGTAATCCTGTCCCAGCTCATCACCCACTCATTGAGTTTAGTTATATTCATTTAGATACAATTATGGCATGGGGGTCTTCTTTCAACATACCATTCACAATACCGAGAACAAAATCCCACTGGGATCATAATCCCATCGTGGAACAGGTTCCTAATGGGGAACGAGATCCAACTGAAACCCACCGGTAACGCAATCCCATCGGGTATCGGGATCCTATCGAGAAACGGGATCCCATCGGAGAAGAGGATCCCACTGTAAAGGGGATTCAACTGGGAAACGGGTTCACATAGTGGACAGGATCCTAATGGCATCAGGATCCGTCCTGAAATTGGTATCCCATTTGAAAATGAATCCCAAGGGGGTAATGGGATCCCACCGGGTTCGGGATTCCCCGGGATGGGGAAACAATCGGGATCGGAATACCGAAGGGATCGGGATCCCACAAGAAAACGGGATCCCACAAAAATACCGGATCTCATTAGGATCTAACCTGGATCAGGAATCCAACGGGATCGGCATACCACAGGGATCGGCACCCTACAGGAATTGGGATACAGATGGGATCGGGAAAAACAGGAACCCATCGGGAAACGGGATCCTATTGGGATCCCTCGGGTTTGGGATCATATTGGGGAACGAAAGGTTTGCAAAAGTTATAATATAAGTGTTTTTATGAGAGACAAGTTAACTTTTTTTTTTTACTTTAACGGCTTTTTTTTTTTTTACATGGTGCTTAATTTTAAAGAAGTAGCTATTCGTACCCGGGTACCAGAAGTGAGAGTTTGGGATTAAAAAAACTATTAAAAATTTTATTGTTGGGTTTTCAAGACAAAATGGGGTATCAAATGAAAGAAAGTTAACTTTTTTTTTACTTTAACGGCTTTTTTTTTTTTTACATGGTGCTTAATTTCAAAGAAGTAGCTATTCGTACCCGGGTACCAGAAGTGAGAGTTTGGGATTAAAAAAACTATTAAAAATTTTATTGTTGGGTTTTCAAGACAAAATGGGGTATCAAATGAAAGATAATTGAATGGACTATATGTTTGTAAGCTTAATTCTTCAATTTAACTAAAGTAAACTACCACAAATGACATCCGAATAGCACTGAGTCAAAATGGACCCAGCCACGCAGCGCTGACATTCGCACCCGGGTACCATTAGACCCAAGCTATCCAGATGTCATTTGTGGTAGTTTATTTTAGTTAAACTGAAGAAGTAAGTTTAAAAACATATAGTTCATTTAATTATCTTTCATTTGATGCCTCATTTTGTCTCAAAAGCCCAACAATAATATTTTAAATAGTTTTTTAATCCTAACCTCTCTTTTGTGGTACCCGGGTACGAATAGTCGCAACCTAATTTCAATGTTACCGTAATTAAAAGGCTGTAGAAATTTTTCTTTTCCTTCTGAATGCCATCCCTGGAAACGCTGGGTTTATTAGCTAGTATCTATCTATCTACATATCTACCAAACTATCTACCCACATACCCATCCATCCACCCACCCACTGTTATAATTAAAGTTATACACTATCAAGGTTATTTTTAGGGTCGGTGCGGCGGAAAATTCCAAGACAAGTGCCGTTCGACGTAGCATAATGTTAAGCTACGTCATCGATTTAATAGGGACAAATTAATACCAGTTTCCATGGGCGCCCGCAGGTAGTGGCAAGGTGGGGCACTTGCCCCCCCCCCCCTGGATTGATTTGATACAATTTTTTTAGACAACAATTTTATTAAAGTAAAGAGAAAATAAAGAGAAAGTAACTAAGCTGATGTCCTGTCCGTTCGTTCACCATACAAATACGCTACAGTAAATTAAAACAATATTAAAACATTATTAATTTTTTTTGCCCCCCCCCCTGGAAAGTTAATCGATTTTTTGCCCCCCCCCGCCCCCCCCCCCCTCTGGAAAGTTTTCTGCGGGCGCCCATGCCAGTTTCAGTTACCGTTGAAAAAGAAGAATTATTAATTAATTTTTAGTAAAGTTAATCGATTTTTTGGCCCCCCCCCCCCCCCCCCCCCCTCTGGAAAGTTTTCTGCGGGCGCCCATGCCAGTTTCAGTTACCGTTGAAAAAGAAGAATTATTAATTAATTTTTTTTTCCTTTGTCATTTTGTAGGGCTGCCTCCCTTTCCATCAACGATTCAATTTATATGCAAATTCAATTGTACTGTTGCAGCCTACATCAGTATTTTCCATTTATCGTTTTATAATTTTTACGGAGTCATAGTCACATCCTTCTCCCCCATTCATGAATGGTAGAGTGTTATTACTTTTATAACTGTAAACGGATTCTATATATAGTCGTCTAGTAGTCTCGAGTCGTATTGCCATAGACTTCCGCCTTGACACCCAGTGCCTAGTTGTAATGGTCCACTTCTTTGTTATCGCTGCCTAGTAAGTTTTTAGTTATTTTATAACAGTTAATGTGATGTGATTAAAAAAAAAAAAAAGAAGAAATTAACAGTTAATTTGATGCAGTTAAGTGGTTAGGAATTTACTTTTACTTTTTTAGATTATAGTAATTAGTCTAGTAGGCTTCTACTTCTAAATCATTTTTCATCATTTTAAAATTGTATAATAATTGTTATTATTTAGGAATTATAGTGGCCTGACTACGAAATTAAAATTAGGTAATAGTATTACTAATAGTTACTAAGACTTAAGACTAATACTACTAATAGTAATTCTAGGTAATCCCTTATTTTAGTGCTTTTTATTATTATTGTAATACTACTAAAATAGGGCATAATAAATAGGGTGACCAAATCCTGAACTAGAAAAAACGGGACACACCCAAGGCCAAGGCAAGGAGTGTTGGGGGTGGGTGGGATAACCTCCAGCTAAAGAGGGGTCGGGGGGGGGGGGGGGGGGGGGGGGGGAAGGCGCGGGGGGAGGGGGGGGGGGGGGGGGGGGGGGGGCTCCGCCGGAAACTGATTATTGAAAAATGCTCAACAACAGATTAACTATTTTGAGACCTAGAAATCTTTTTAAATTTACCTTCACTTTTGTAATTTAATTTAACTCATAGGCTTACCATGAACGAAAACAATAATTTTGCAGTGAATACTTATTTATTTATAATTTATACATATAATGCGTCAGCAGAGTTTTGGATGGGGAACAGTGCAGCAATCACGTGAGCCCACATCGCTACTGGCACTGGCTACACAGCTAGCCAAAATATTACTTGAAGTTATATTGTAATTTAGGAATTTTTAGGGATTTGAAAATGTGTTTGGTTCTTTACTGGATGTCCTTAGGTTGAGATGGCCGTCCTAAAGCTAATCCTTCGAGGGAAGTTACGGGCGGGAGAAGTCTTAGCAAGAGAAGATATCGAACACGCTTCTTTGCAGAACGATAGGGGACTTTTCGGGTGCTTTGGGGAAATCATTAAGAGCTATGGCTTGACAGTTTGCTAACGCCATTTTCTAATGACATATTATTTCAAATTACATTCTAGACAGGCGAAAGAAACTCTCTGTAGTATTGTAACATGTGTGTGCTGCATCAGAAGATGTGTGATTGTTTCATGAATATTAATGGACAAATATATCGTTAACAAAATTAGAACTGATAATTTGTTTCAATATGTTGAATTTTTTCAAAAGATAGTTATTTTTCAGAGCTAAAAGAATTTTACAAAGTATTTTAATTATTTTCATTTGCTGTTAGGCCGCATAATGCTACTGATAATTTTTAAATGAAAGCACAATCTTGCAGCTATAACAAAATCTGCAAACTATCCTAATTTCAGATATTTAGCACAAAATAAAACTGCTGTTGGTTCCACTTATGCTTGTGGATCATTTTTTCAAATTCACAAAAAGCAAATCCTGTTCTTTACTTATTATTAAGGTATCTGATGAAAACTTACAAAATCAGTTAAGATGTGCAACAAACAGAAATAGATTTTAAAGGTTATCTGTATTTGAGAGTAAAGATAAAAACAAATACAAAATAATGTGATTTTTATTTTGCATTTTTATCTTGTATTTCATGTGCATTAAGAATAAATAAACAATTATGTACTGTGTTTATTTGCCCAAAACAAATGAACCACTTTCAAATTTTTGGAATCTATTAGGGAGCATGACAGTAGACAATTTTACAAATAACGTGGCAAGGATATGATTTCTTTTTAGTTATTGTACACTGAATTACTTTGTTGTTAATCAATTCTAAACATAAATGAAAAAAAATCAAACTTATCTGTTCTAAAAGTTATGATTATATTTTTGTCCACAGAATGGTTGAGGTGAACTAAAAAATGAAGGTGCTACGTTTACATCGCTTGTTTACTAGATGTCCAATAGATGTCAGATGTCTTTCAAGATCATTTTTGCCAGCTCTAGTGGGTCTGTGCCTGGGGATGACAGTCAGTATGATGTATGCACCTTTCAGTGAAGATAGCTGTGAAACATTCATTGCCAATCAGGACCCTCAAAAAATGATAAAATTGAGAGATACCAAGTCTTTAGACACACAGGCTGAAGAATCATATGAGCCACGTGTCCTACCACCCATAGAAGAGTCCTCCTACAAAATAGATATCAAAGCTGGGTCTAAATTTTATAGGCCAAAGTTTGCTGCAACAGAGTTGGGAATAAGGGAAAAGCTTTTTGTTGCAGTTCTTTCATCCAAAGATACCTTGAACACTTTAGCAGTGGCTGTAAACAGAACAATCAGTCAATATGTAACCAAAACTGTGTTTTTTATTGATAAAAAGGCACCAGTAGTTCCAGCTGGAATGATCATTGTCAATTTTGATGATGGATATAATCATCTTATGCCTACTAATGTATTTAAATATGTCATTAAAAAATATGGACATGAGTATGATTACTTCATGTTTCTTTCTGACAAGGGATATATTCGAGCTGAGAAAGTTTTTGATTTAGTCAGCCATATCAGTGTGAGTAGACATGTGCATCTGGGAGCACCCAAAGGTGTTGAGGATGGTAAAACTTACTGTTCATTAGAAGGAGGAATAATTATTTCACAGGTTGGTAGATCTAATTTGTTTTAATTAACTCTCATAAAGAAACAAAATTCTACATTCATGTTGGTGTAATTTTAAATAACAAAAAGCCATATAATTATGTAACATTTACTTTTATGGACAGGGTAAATTTATATCCGATATTTGATAGTTTCTATTTATAAAACTCAATAAACTCTAAATGTAATGAGATTATTAAAAATGTATAAAATATAACTAGACAACACTGAACCTGACAGCTGCTGCATGCACTATGTTAGTTTTGGCCATAGAGGAATAAAACTTGTAATTTTTTTTATCCCCAGTCACTTTTATCTCTGGTAAATTCTAGCCTAAAGTGGTGTACAGACAACTGTCACAGCTCTGATTCTAGTATCAATTTTGGCAAGTGTTTGCTTCATGTTTCAGAGCTTGATTGTCAAACAACAGCTGCTGTAAGTTTTCACTTATATAGCATAATGTGAAAGAGTAGTAAAAAAATGCTTTATGTCTTTTCAAACCAAATAAGAAAGATAAAAGTAACATTTTATAAGGAAAATTTTAATTTGCTTTGTATTTTATGGAAATTGTTAGTTATATATAGAAATTTGAATAGGGGTTGTGTGAAGTCATCATGGGCACATGCGCAAAGGGCCACTGCATCTGAATGATGGTGTAAAGTCATCTCACCAATAGTGGTCTTTATCATATTGTTAACGTTTATCCTAAACTGGAAATTTTTAATTGTCTTCAGCTGCATGTGCAAAATTTCTGTTTAAAAAAATATGCAAACCACTAACTAAAATACAATATTGGGTTCAGTGTAATTTCAAAGCTGAACTTCACATAGTATTAATTAAATCATTTCAAAGAAATTATTATCAACTAAAGATAAAAAATATACTAATTTAGACATACAGTTGGTGATAACAATAAAAATGTCCTTATATATCCTTAAGAGAATTTTCAGTATGTTGGGGGGGAGGGATATCAATGTATTTTTTAAATGTAGACTGATGAGAAAACCAGTCTAAAGAGAGTGATAAAATATTTATGTCAAGGACGTTTATAGCATTATATTTTAAGAATGTCCTGTGGTCAGAGTATTCTTTTTTTTCCCTTCACATTAGTTGAAAATATATGTAATTTTTCTACATTTCATCTAGAACAAAGTTTACACTGCTTATCCAGTGAAAAATTTTAATTTCAACAAAGATATAGAAGCCCTTAAAGAACAAGTGGAATTCAACAAGTCTCTCTCTATTTTTCCAATGCCAGATGACACGACACACTACAAAATGCACAGGTTAATTTTAAGGTTTTATTTAAATCATTCATATATTTCCTTTGTAATCAATATGAAATTTGTGGTATGAACCTGAATTTAACAATTTGTAGTGTCATACCCCCATTGCCACAATCTGTATTCAAAAGCTTGTTTGATCATCCTAAACTGATTAATTGATGCATTTAAATTTAATGTTAGTTTCCTAAAATTTGTATTATTATATTTCAATTTTGTTTCCAAAAAAGATTTTCTTCCATTTAAATTGGCCTTAAGGGGCCATCCATAAATCGTCCCCCTAGAATAACAAGGTTTTAAGTTGATTGGATTAAATAGGCACATAGAACCTTGTTATTCTAGGGGGACGAAATGACGTCACTCATTTGGGGAGGGGAAGGGGGGGGGGTCAGATTTTTGTGATGAGGGGGAAAAGGGGGAGGGGGGGGGCTCAAGCATTATTCTTTTATACAACAGTTATAATTATAACTATTTTATTTTATTTACTATCACTGATAGAATCAGTACAGGTATCCATGGTCTAAAAAATGGCCTCAGATCAAGTTACAGGACGCCAAGGAGGGGGAGAATCGACATGTAGTTACAATGACAGTCGAGAGAATTTATGGCTAAATGTTGACATGGGAGTCATAGAATTAGGACTAGGGGGCCTACGGTATGAAGTTGGATGTAACGAAAAAGGTTGACTGGGGAGATATTTTAGCAAATGCTCTAGGGCAGGGATTCTTAACCTTTTTTGCGGCGCTGTAGCCCCACACCCGCCTGCCAACCGTATAAATTTACCGTATAAATTATATTGTAATAAAATTTTTAAAATTAAATAATTTAGTTACAGTTTTATTTCTTTAATCAACCTTTTATAAACGAGGGAAAAAATTACCAATTCAAGCAATGCGCCAACAAAATTCAACAGAAAAACATTTACTGCTGCTAATCAAAATGCATGAAAACTTATTTTAAAAAAAGGCAGCAACAACTAGCTATAGCAGCAAATACAATCATGGAGTAGCTAGGGTTGATGTCACCTGGTCCGGTAAGCTCATGGTGTCACACACACCCCCCCACCCTTTTTTTTTTCCCATGATGTAATTCTTCTTGTTAAAGTTAGTCCACAGTATAAAAAATACAAGAACAAAACCAAATTAATTGAAGATCAGAAGGTAAATGTATTTAAGAACTGTAACTTGTACTTAGAATCGCCCTTTTTATCAAAGGATAGTTTTATTTCTCAGAATTTAGATAAAAATAGCTTCCTGCCACGTACAAACATGGTCAAAGCGGTGTGTTTCTGACCTAATAATAAGATAACCTAATTGCTGACGCATCAACCTTGAAATTTTAATAAAGCACGCATTTTGATTGGGTACATATGTGAAAAATTTATGTGTCATCTGTTATCCTTTTATGAAATTCGATTAAACTGACCAGTCTGTAAATGCGCAATTTTTCAATTTGGCGTCACCCCTTGAGAAGATGTCACCTGGTGTGATCCACACCCCTCTAGCTGCGCCACTGAATACAATTTTCTGGTCTACCACACTGCAGGGCTGGGGAGGTACTTTACTCCTGGTTAAGAACCACTGTTCTAGTGAAATATTTCTCACACAGGTGCTGTAGTTTGATATCTACGGGAGGTGCATTTCTTAAGGGTTTGTAAAGGACAGTAGTGGACACAGAATTTTTATAGGAGGGGGTGCAGAGATTTGTGTCGTTATATTTGAGTTGGGGTCTAACTTTTTGTGATGATTTGTGGTGATGGGGGGAGGGGGTGTAAAAATCGGCAAAATTTGCGTAACGTCATTTATGGACGGCCCCTAATTGAATATCTTACATCAAAAGCCACCTAAAGCTTTGACCCTCTATTGATTTGATTTACAAATTGTATTTAAAATAGAATAATGCATTGTATTGCTTTTGAAGCCTCATTATATGATACAAGATTTGATTTTTAAAAAAATTTTAATGTCAAGTAAAGAGAACTAAAAATTGTATTTTATTTGATGCCTCTCCACTATAACTGGAGACAAAATAATGCTTGTACATGTTAATGATCTATACTTAATTTTAAATGCTTTGCTAAAATAGTTGAATTCTCACATTATTCTAAGACATGCATGATGAAAATAGCTGCTGTAAGTCTTTAAGTTAGCCTCTTAAGTTAGTCTTATTCTTCTATAAAGATAATTTAGTGGTATATTTCTTTCTCTTCTAACACTATTTATGCTCAGTTGTGACTTCTCTGGTCCTGATGAGAATTTAATTTGTTTAAATAGCTTCAATTCGGACAGTGTTCTGTTTTCATTTGGGTTATGAAACTCTGGTGACCGTGTTTTAGTTTCCACCATTGATCCTCTTTTTTTGGGTGTGCAGTTGATGTTCAGTTAATGCAGTTAACTGTGTCTCCATTTTCCCAGCCCTTTAACCATTCCTCTCTAAAAGGATCTTTTAACAATGACCCCCAGTTGGGTCATCAGTTAGTGTGATTGTGGTTGGGTTTTCCTTGTCTCGCTAGAACACCTGCTTGCTCATTCTGGGGTAATCTTGTGTGTCCCGCGATATATTCAAGAACAACTCTGCCTCCATGTCTCATACTTTGTCCATAATGGCACTGATCATTTTGTGTCTAGAAAGCACTTCTGTAAACACTAGGATGGGTGGAAATAGTTTTCTTTTAGCTGTTTGGCGGTGTCGATGTTTCAGGGCCCTAAGTATGGCTTCAGTTTCTGCATCTGTACTTGTGCTATACTTCCCACTCAGCCTTGAAATCTCTGGTTACTGGATGAATGCAGAAAATGAGGCTCCCGAAAACCTCTAGCAAAGTGGGAACAGGGGTCCCCTTAGAGCATTTTTTATAAAAAAACCAATGAAAGGATACATTTGGCGCATACTTATATTTGGTGTTTATTTCAGCCAATTTAGGGGAGGGGGAATTTCAGATTTTCTGGTGGGAAGCGCCAAATTAGCCATAATAAAAATCAGGTACATTAATAACCCTGCCCTAGTCCAACATGAACTAAATTCATTCAAGTTGATTCGCCCTTGAGAGTATGCTTTTTGCCGAGGTAAGTCTCGCCCCCTTAAATCTTTATAGTCCCAAGAAAAATTTTGATACATTTAAAATGCAAGAATGTATTTTAGCACATACTTAGTTCTGCATTATTCCACACTTAATCGAAGAGCAACAGGAGAGATGCAAGTTAAAAGTTTAGGTGTTACTTTACCTCAGAGCTGCCATAAGGGTTCCGCAGCCTTGGATATTTTAGAGGTATAAAGTTGTCATGTGGACATTTTTTTAATTATCAAATTTGAATGTAAGGTGGGGTAAGGGCAAAACCGAAAAGGGACAGGGGGGGCTCAAATTTAAAGCGACTGCTCTGCTCTGATGGTGGGGGGCACTTGACTTGCTCCATGCCTAACATCTTTTCAGTCTCGTGCCAAACTGTCCCTTGATGTCTGCATGAGAGGGGCTTGGCTCCCAAAGCCAGTAGTAGAGACCATGTCATCCATTAGCCTGTCTCCAGACACAATGGGGTAGTGACTGAGATACCCACGCTACACTTGTCATAAGCTGAGAGTCAGGACTGTTTTGCTTCCACTTCTTAGATTCAGATTTTGTGTTGCCTGGGCCCCTCGTCCAAGGAGTCATTCATTTTCAGTGTGGGACGCCAGGTTCTTTAGCTTCGGGCTGTGACAAACTTCACTAATCCCTACCATGTAAAGGCCAGAACCTTTATCCATCCATCCATCCCTGTGGCGCTACAGCCCATGTAGGGCTTTGGCCTGCCTCACTACTTCCTTCCACTCAGACCTAACTAATGCCTTTCTTTTCCATGCTTGGACTTTCAGCTGCTGTAGATCTTTTTCTACATCATCTATCCACCTAAGCCTAGGTCTGCCTTTGAGCCTTTTTCCTCTGGGGTATTGGTGATGTACCCTCTTCGTTCCTCTGTCATTTGGCATTCTCTCTAGGTGTCCTGCCCAGCGTAGCCTGCCTCTTTTTATTTCTGCCACTATCGTAGGATCCTGATATAGACTGTATAATTCCTGGTTGGTTCGTATTCTCCATCCATATTCATCCTTTGTTGGCCCATATATTTTCCTGAGAACTTTCCTCTCCCATGTGTTTAATAGGTTTTCTGCTGTTTTTGTTAGGGTCCAAGTTTCACTTGCATATGTTACAACTGGTCTGATCACAGTTTTATAAATAGTTTTCTTTGTTTCTCTTGTAATGTTTTTACTTTTGAGTATTTTCTGACTACTGAAGTATGCCCTGTTTCCGGCTGATATTCTTTCTTTTATTTCTGTTAGTAATTCGTTTCTTTCATTTAACAAGGATCCTAGGTATTTAAATTGATTTACTTTTTCAAAAGTTTGGTTTCTAATTTTAATTGTTTCATCTGTTTGTTCCTCTCTTATCATGGTCATGTATTTTGTTTTTTGGTTGTTAACTTCCAGCCCTGCTTGTAAAGATGCGTCTTCTAATTCAATAAAGGATTTTGATATGTCTTTTATACTTTTCCCTAGAAGTGCTATGTCATCAGCATATGCAAGATACTGAAGTGGTTGGTTGTAGAGTGTGCCCGTTGGTTGTGGGTCTTGAGTTTCCCTCAGAAAGTATCCTGTTATCGTTCCTCGAGTGTCAATGTGTATGTTTCTAATAACTCTCTCCAATGTTAGGTTAAAGAGCATACAAGACAGTGAGTCTCCCTGTCTTAGGCCTCGTCTAATATGAAATTCCCTTGAATATTCTCCTTGAATCTTGATTTTGCTTTTTGAGTTGTTTAGTGTTACATGTATTAGCCTTGTCAGTTTGTTGGGTATCCCAAACTCCTGTAGAGTCTCATATAAATAGTTTCTTTTGATGCTGTCATAGGCCATTTTATAGTCGACATAGAGTTGATGTACTGGTATATTAAATTCATAGCATTTCTCTAACAGGCATCTGATGGTGAAAATCTGATCAGTCGTTGATCTGTTAGGCCTGAATCCGCATTGGTAATCACCTAGTATTTCTTCAGTGTAAGGTTGTAGTCTTTTGGCAATAAGTTTTGTCAGTATTTTGTATGTAACATTTAATAGGGAGATTCCTCTGTAGTTTGTGCACTGAAGTTTGGAGCCTTTCTTGTGTATTGGGGTTATTAATGCTGTTTCCCATTCTGTCTGGATTTTCTCCTCTTGCCAAATTTTACTTATAAGTTTATGTATCTTATTGTGTAGTTCTTTTCCTCCATATTTAATCAGTTCTGCTGTGATAAGGTCTTGTCCGGGGGCTTTGTGATTTTTTCATGTAATTAATTACCTCTTTGGTTTCTTCTAGTGTTGGGCATTGTATAAACGGGTCTGGTCCTCCCTTTGGGAGTTGATCATCTTCTTCTTGTCTATTGTCTGCATTCAGTATGTCCTCAAAATATTCAGCCCACCTCTCCAATACTTTACTATTTTCCGTGATTAATTCTCCATTGTGGCTCTCACACATTTGCGGTCTGGCTTGGTATCCATTCTTTTCATCTTTTATCTTCATGTACATTCCTCTTATATTTCCCTCTCTTGATAAATCTTCTATTTCCTTTAGTTTATCCTTTTCCCATTCCCTCTTTTTCTTCCTACACATTTTGTTGCTTTCCTTCTGGCTTCCTTGTATGCTTGTGTTGTCTTTCTGGTTTCCCTTTGTAACATGATCATTCGTGCTTTGTTTCTTTCTTCCACAGTCTCTCTGCATTGATTGTCGTACCAGCCTACTCTATTGTTGGTTTGCTGAAATCCCACTACTTTTTCTGCTATCTTTTAATGGCATTTTTTATCCTATCCCACTGATCATTTATGTTGTTTTCCCCATTTATTTCCTCGTGTGATGCTTCTAATTGTTCTTCTACTTCATTCTGGTACGCTTTTGCAGTTAATGGGTCTTTGGGCAGCTTTTGTTAATCGTATCGTTTCTCTCTTTGATTACGACCATTGTGAACTAAGCTTATCCTCTGCCTATATTTCACCCTTACAAGTAGATGGTCCGAGTCCGCATCTGCTCCTCTAAGGCTTCTAACATCTAATATATCTGATCCATGTCTTCGATCTATTAAAACGTGATCGATTTGATTGCGGGTGATTCCATCTGGTGAGTTCCACGTAGCTTTATGTATATTTTTGTGCGGAAACTTGGTGCTGCTGACTGACATCCCTTTTCCTACCGCGAAGTCTATGAGTCGGATCCCATTGTCATTGGATTCTTCGTGCAGACTTTCCTTGCCAATAGTTGGCATGAACACCTTTTCTTTTCCTATTTTGGCATTGAAGTCTCCAATCACTATTTTAATATCATGTCGTGGTGCCTCTTCGTAGATCTTTTCCAGTGTTTCATAGAAGGATTCTTTATCCTGATCTTCCGCGTCTTCCGTTGGAGCATGTACATTTATTAGTGTTATATTGAACATTTTTCCTCGCACACGCAAAGAACACAGTCTTTCGTTCTCTGGTTTGAAGCCTATTACTGCACTGACCGCTTCTTTTTTCACTGCAAATCCTGTTCCTAGTGTGTTGGTGTTGCTACCACTATAAAAAATGGTGTATTCTTTTGTCTTAATGATGTCTGAATTTTTCCACCGAATTTCTTGCAATGCAGCAATAGATATTTTGTATTTGACAAGCTGGTTTATAAGGTTAGCTAAGGCTCCTGCTCTAAACAGGCTTAGTACATTCCAAGTCGCAATCCAAAATCATGTCCATATCCATGCATAGGTCGATTTCCATTGTTATCAGTCCGGGTTTTGTTCAGTTGCTTGGCTTTCGTAACGTTGGGTTTTTTACGTGGCCGGGTTGTTAACCCTGCGCACAACCATCTGGGGGGTTGCCCCTTACAGCTCTCTGGATAGCTGCCTTAGTTTTTGGGTAAGGTTCCCTAGCCTTTGTGGATCCCTCCACTTCCTACAAGGCAGTAGGTTCTGATTTTGGTCCGCCCCAGGTATTTTATTTCCCTGGTACCCTCCATATCTGGTGGGCTTTCCCCTATCCGCCACCTGGGGAGGCGCTCGATGGAAGATCAGTATCTCCGCACGAGACCAGAACCTTTGCAACGGCATATTTTTTCAACTGTTTTTTTATGTCTTGCATATCAGAACTTCAAGTGTTCGAGAATTCTTTCTCTTAATGCAAACCAAACATTTATATATGAAAATTTTAACTGGTCATCAAATTAAAAATAGGCCTACTCTGAGGAAGTTTTTGGCAAAGGGAATAATAATGTATTACTATAAAAATATGCCATTAAAAATATCATTTGCATTATTAATCATGTTTCAAATAATTTAAATGTATCATTTTGATGATGCTGCAGGTATTTTTGTGAAGTTGAGCTCAATTCAACCCGACATCAAATTCAGGATATGAAAGATAATATCCTCTACATGAGCCAGTTTGCTCCTGGTGGGAGAGATAGCATTTCATGGCCAATAGGTAATTTCCTATTATAAGTTTAACGACAAAGGATTTTTAAAGTTATAAGTGTTAAAAGATGTTAATTGTAAATGTTTTTAAAAAAAAAACTTCTTAAACTCTTCAAATGTATTATTTTAAATCTTGACAGGAGTACCAGAGCCTTATAAACCTAAAAATAGGTTTGATGTTATACGTTGGGATTATTTTACAGAGACACATATCTTCTTTCAGGATGATTTTACAAATGTAAAGGAATTAATAGGTAGGAATATACATACTGCATTGAACTGAACTGCTGAAATCTATAGTAATGGACTAGAAATATATAATAATTAAGAAATCCATAATTACAATATTAGAATGACTTAATTTATTGTCAATGAATGTTTTTAACTTAAAAAAACAGTTGAATCATTGAACTAGGTATCATTGTGCTCTCACTAAACTGTATGCAGGGCCATAGAAGTTATGATTCTAAAAATCTAATTTAGTAACTCATTCTTACTGATTTTTTATGAAATATTTTACTCTGATTTCTAAACCCCTGTAAACCTTCCATTAAAGAGTTTGATTCCAGAAATTTATAAAATTTTCATGTCATTGACATTTCCTATTTTGTTAAAAAAAATTAAATTACATTTACATTTCTTTTTTAAAAAGTGTATTTAAAAAAAAAAATTAAAATATTCTTTTCTAGCCATATAGTCTAAGTCTTTAATTTTTTTCAATAGGTGTTGACAAGCTAGACATTCAAGATATAATTAAGATATCAATGGAGAAACTCAATGAGAAGCATCATAATAAATATTTATATTCATACCTAATCAATGGGTACAGGAGGTTTGATCCCCAACGAGGCATGGAATATTTACTTGATCTTGCATTAGATGATACATCTGTACCTGCTGAAGAAAATGGAGGCAACAATTACAACCAAAGAATTGTTGAAAAGCGTGTTTTCTTAGTAAGGCCTCTTGGAGAGGTATTATTATTTTTTTTACATTTGATACTTTTTTTTTTTATATTTGTATTTGTTCTATTTGCATATTAAAAAAACTATATGATGCATTTCATGTCTTAGAACAATATATTTTTTTAATCATACAGGACAAGTGTTTTTTGATTGACATTACTTTGGTACATTTTAGGTAGAAGTTGTGCCTATGCCTTATGTAACAGAATCTACCAGACTCAACATAATTCTACCTATCACAACTGGTGATATGGATGGATGGGGAGTTTTTCTTGAGAATTATGCTCGTTTACAGGTATTATTTTAATAAACAATAAATGCTGTCTCCTTTTAAGTTGTTTGAAAATATATTTGTTACAGGCTAAGTGTTAAAAGCTTGAAATTTTCAGTGGCATTTAAAGACATTTCCTTGGATAAACAAACCCCCTCAGATCAGCTGCAATACAACCAACAGTCTGCTGGTACTGAACAAGGATTTGTTAAGTGCATGTGTAGAATATAGAAAACTAAATAATTATAAATGCCATTCATTCAAGTATAGATGGCTATAAAACTGTTCTGTTAGGGGTTGCAATCCAGGATCCCGAATTTCAAATATACCGGAATACCAGACTATAACGATGCTAAAAAAAATCGGGATTGGAATTTATAAAAAATTGGGAATTTCAAAATTCCCGGGATTTCATTTTCAAAAAAAATATTTATCGCTTTTCTTAGTTTCCATGTCGTAGCTAAAGCAAGACATAGCTACAATTTATTTCATGTGCAAAATGCGAACTCCTCACACCATCTGTCTCAAGTTTAAAGAGGGCCGATCGACTGGCTAAATCTGTGTGCTCTTCATTTGTTACGAATCATGGCGTTGTGGTTAGTTTTGTTTTTACTTCTTGCGTGTGTAGTGTGTAAGTGGAGACGTGAGTAGCAAAGTGAACATACAGAATTGGTAAGTAAATGTTTTCATATTATTGACAAATAAGTAATTAGTATAGTTGAATGAAAATCAATAAATGTTGACATCATTAAGAGTTTGTTTGTAACATGAATTATATGGAAATAATTACACGCTGCACTTGAATCAAGGGGTAAACATTATACAACAAAAAATTTTGATTGCTTGATTTACTTTAATCATGCCAACACATTTAAAACTATGAGTAAATCTGTATTATGATAATCAAATACCTTAAGTTTAATACATATACAAATTATGTTACTTCTATTTTTTGAAAACAATATTAATAATTCACATTCACCTTATAATTTATTTTCGAGCTATTTTGTCTCAAGCTGAATGTCCCAGTTTTCCTTACCCTCTTAGCCAAACATTGAGATGAATATTTAAACATTTTTTTAAAAGTTGTACACGTCAAACCGATTTGATTTAATAAATAAATTGTTGTTAATGATTTATTTTCCTTTCAGGTTGATAGATAGAAAGAAATGGGGGACCCTGAAAAGAATAAACCTAAATATGAAAAGCATATGAAACTATAGGAAACAAAGACATCAGTTTGGTATTATTTCTTGAATGTTATAGACAATCTCTCAGCTAAATGCATTAGATGTAACAAGATACTTAAAACATTGGAGGCACAACTTCAGGCCTTCACACTCAATTAGTCTGCACATTCCACTGTCTTGAAAGATATCGCAGTTTCTGGTACTGGTACCCCAAGATGCTAGTGTGATGACCTTATTAGGATATGAAGCAGCGCTTTACCATCAGCAGTGTCTTGCTCACGGTGTACAGTTGGCAATCTTAGACGTCATTTATAAAAAAAGAAAACTCTTCAATCTCAACAAAATCAACCTGAAGATGACAATGGTTCTGATGATTTTGACTGTGATGATGATAATGACAACTGTGGTTTTCATGTTACAGTTGAGATCAATCAAAATAATGAATTTGTTTTCAAAGATTTAATCGGGGAAATGCGAAAAATTGTAAAAAAATTCAGAAAGTCGCCTACCAAAAATACGATTCTTCAGAAATATGTAAAAGGAGAAATAGGTCGTGAGCTTAATTTGATTTTAGATTGCAGCACAAGGTGAAATAGTTTAGCAGACATGTTAGGAAGGATAGTCAGACAAAAAAATCCTATTAATTTAAGAAAGTGCTTATTGGTTTAAAAATCGATCTTGACATATCTCAAGATGATTTGAAAGACTGTTTAATTCTCAGCAAAATATTTGAAATTCTGAAAGCAACGGTTAAAGAACTTTGCAAAAGTAACGCCATCTTAGCAAAAGTAACACCAACTTAATGACATCTGATACGGCTTTGATGTTTATGTTTAAAAAAAATTAGATACCTTACCTCATGGCATAGTTGCACATGAACTTGTTGCCTCTCTGATTAAAGAGAGCATATTGTTGGTTGCTTCAACAATGACATACTTTGATGCGTCAAATGACTACTTTGACATATTTCTAAGGCCAGATTGCGACAAGATGTGAAAACATATCGTGGATATTTAAAATTTTTGTCAAAAAGCAGATTCCTAGTTGGAAATATCTATGGACAATGAGATTGAAAATCTTGGATCTGAGTATGACGAACTTGAAGACACACTGCCGCTTAAGAGACAATTGGAAATTGAAATATAAAAGAAACTTCAGGCCCAAGATAATACGTACAGACCAACTGATGGAGACATTGATACATTGGAAAAAAATAGAGATGGCTTTATTTCAGAATGGCGGTGATAGAAGAAAATTTGTAGAAATTGCATATCATAGCCTAAGTAAGGTCTATTTCTCCGACCAGTGTGGAGTCTGAGCAGGCGTTCTCGTCATCAGGCTACTTTTGTATTTGCTGTCAAAATTAAGTGATCAGACATCAAACACATTTTCATTTTACGATCTCATCTGAATTTGACCTAATATTAAAACAACACAAATTATTTCAATATTTGATAATGTCTGAAGTTAGACATTTGTGTTATTGTTAAAAGCTTATTAAAAATTAAATTACTGTTTCTTTTTTAATGTTTTTATTTCATTAATGAATCTTAACCTCTAATCTTGACAGAAAATTTACTAAATATTGACAATGTTGAAAATATCGGGATTCCGGTATTCGTAAACTTCAATAATAAAATATCAGTTTTGATAAAAAGGGACTGGTTTTGTGACCCCTAGTTATTATATACCAAGTCCAGGTAGAAATTCAAGACAGGATGCCTAATATATAACATATTTTGACTATTATCATCACACGTTGCCTGTAACATATACATTTAGTTATTTTTCTAAATATTCAAGGTAAAACACTAATAAGAAAATAGATCAGAGCTAAAACTTTATTCATTGCTGTATATTATTAAACTTAAATATGCTAGATTGTATTACAACTAAAAAAAAATAATAATCAAAACACATGATCTTTTATTAAAAATGGCAGACAATTATATAAAAACATTATCAATTTGGGGTACTGTAATTAAGAATTTATGAAAGAACATTTTTTATAATTATTTGAAAAGTGTTTAAACGAAATTTAATATGTATTTTTTAGGCTGAATCTGCTGATAGTCTTGCATTAATAATTGTATTTGTGTACCATCAAATACCTAAAACTGGTGAGGAGGATGTATTCTCAGTCCTTAAATCTATGGTAACATACTATGATGATAAGAGTGAAGATGGTGTCAAGACAAGAATGATGAACTTTGCTAATAATGGAACATATGTACCAGAGTTCAAAGTAATTGACATGGTAAGATAACATGTTTCATGTTGTAAGTGAAAAATTTTATCTCTTAACCAGCATCATGGTATCTTATAATTCACCATGTAACTCATGATAAGGAATATACTATTCACCATTTTGGCAGATAAAGCTTTATCATTTTTTTGTTATATCAATGTCAAATTTTATAAGAAAATTTATAGCTATACATAAAATAAAAATGGAACTATACCTTAAAAAATGATTAAAATTAAGTTCTGCATAATATGTGCAATTAGTTTTGTCGAGTCCATTGAATACTTTTCATGTTTACACAGAGAATGCTGGATATATGCATTGTTGTAATTCATATCATACCTTTCATTACTTAGTTCTCTGCCTGGGAATATCAACAGGAGTCTTTGCTCAAGGAAGATATATTAACACTTCTTAGCTTTGTCCTTTGTTCTTAGCTTGACTGCACTACTGGTTGACTATATTTTTAAAAAAATAAAAAAGAGAAATGCTTACAGCAAAACTGATTAATGTATAAAAAATTCTGTTCCTGTTGTATGTATTTTAGAATAATATTTTCAAATCTATAACCAACCCCCCCCCCCCCTATAAAATACTTTTTTCTCCTCCTAATTTTAGGTAAGTGATCTACTAGAACCTGATGCTTTGATATTGACCTGCTCAGTTGGGATGCAACTAAATATAGAGATGCTGAACAGAGTTCGTATTAACACTATTCCAGGGTGGCAGGTTTTCTTTCCTATTGGATTCTGGCAGTTTAAACCCAATTTGATTTACGACAAAAAACCCTACCCAACTGAAATTGAATTTAGTAGCAGAACAGGGCACTATGATGTTTTATCCTATGAGCATGGGAGTTTTTATAATTCAGATTACAAAGATGCAAGAAAATCTTTATTGTTTGAAGATATAATGAATTATGATCTGTATGAGATGTTTGTAAAGTATGGCAAAATTCATATTTTTAGAGCCGTTGAGCCAGAATTCAAACATTACTATATGCAGCTTGATTGTCCAGCCAGCAGTCCACCCAAGCTGTATGAAAGATGTGTTGAAAGAAAATCCCTGAACCTAGCAACAAGAGCACAGCTAGCTAAGCGAATTTTTCAATACCAATCCAAACGAGAAGCACACCAGAGACCAAATAAAGAAGCTTAATCTGAAATGAATTTGATTTCTACTGAAATAAAACGCAGTTATAAGTTATAATGAATTTTTAAAAAACAACATGAATACAATTTAATTCATTACCAACGCCCTGTCATTGGTCTTTTATAGAAGTTCAATTTCACTTCAATTTAATAAAAAAAAAGAAATTAAAAAATTAACCTAGTCCTAGTGATAAATGAATTTTTTTTGCACACCATTGCAATCAATTGATTTATGTGAAATTTCTTCAATGTTGTGATATGAAAAACAATGATGTTATATTTCAAGACATTGGATTCAGTAATAAAAACATGTTTATTTTAAAAAATAAATATAAAAGCACTTTGAGCTAAGTTTCTAAAGATTTTGTACAAGAGATTGAAAAAGAGGATGAGATGATGTAATATGTTGCACTTTTCTTGTCTGTTGGAAAGTAATATTTATCAAAGCTTTTAATGTCTCAAAACATAAAATTATTGTTTGAACTATTAATTTTTATAATTAAATATTTTTAAACTTATTATTGAAAGGTCTTTTTTGTGGGTAAGTTTGTAGAACTTAATATTTAGATTTTTCTATTAATATGGATCACTGTTTGGTAACATTTTTTGTTGAGTATTTAAAATGTCATTGATTTTGTTTAATATTAAAAACACTTTTTTTTAAAACAAGTTAAACTCTACTCTTTTATGATGTATCAAATGAAATAAGGTAATTTGCATAGCACTAGAAGTTAAAGTAAATCAAATTAGTGTTGTTTTTTTCATGTGTAAAAATAAGGCTATTTAGATTAAGAATATTCAATAATTCATACACAAAACAAGAAGAAATAAAATAATTTACCCATACAACTTTGTTACAATAAACTTTTTTTGCATCTTCGTTCATTTTATGATGATGTTACTTTTTTTTAAAAGTCTAAATTTCTTTGGGCTGATCACATCATTTTTTTGGTTGATGCAAATAATTTCATTTAAAAAAACTTTTAATATAAGTTTTCATGACCATACTTTTTTTTTTGTTTAATCAAGACTATTATTTTGTAACTATAATTTATTTTCAACAAATTATTTTAAGTCCCATCTTAAAAATGCGAGAATTCTACCCTAATCTAAATAAACACTAAAAATGCAGAATTGATCAAAAGGAAACCAACCTGTTCAAAAGCCTACTGAAAACTCAACCTCAGGTAACCAGTACCAGTATATAATATAACCAAAACACATTTTCTTTTGTCTATCTTAAATATTTATTGTTTATACAGTGGTTTTGTTATTTTGATATAAAACTTTTTTCATAAACTAATAAGAATCTCATATCAAGATACCATCACACCACTTTTCAGTTTTTTTATGTGTACTTGATTTTCATTGTTTCCCATTATTTAATTTGTTTGTATATACAATATATATTCTACAGAAAAGCTTACAACCCTCATTGCTTGTCTCTGCCTGGAATCACCATATAGCATGAAACAATTGTGTAACATGAATATAACCTTATAAATCTGTGTTGAACAAGGTATTGCTTGTTAGAGCACACTTTTATTTAAACATAATACACCAAAGCAATGTTTGACAATAAAAGAATGTGCATACTTTTTTCCCCCAAAAATTCATTGGGATGAAAAGACCACATTGTTTGTGTAACATAAGACTGAGAAAATATCATGTGTAATTTCATCCCTATCAAATGACTTAATTTCTTAGTGTACCGGTACATACATATGTATATTGTAGGCATGTCTAAAAGGAAAGTAATTCTAACTACAACCTTGTATAGTATTTTTTTAATAAATTTTTTTAATGCAGATGTTTTTTTAAATTAAATCTTAATGTGATGGGAATGTGTTGTAGAATAATACATTATAAATAAATATAATGCACATATTTTTAGACATTGTCAGAATTTATGAACTTTTGTATCTAGGGCGTTGTGGACCACACTTGCAGTGGGTGGGGGACACTATAAGGAAAACTGGACAATTTGACCTAGTTCACTCTAGCTGGTTTCATAACATATATAAATTAAATACAAGATCAGGGTACGACTAGAACAGAGTGCCACCAGACATAATGCCACCAGTCATACTGTTTTCACATTAGCATCTAGTGCGTTTTCTCATAAGATCAGTGGCTAGCATAAGTCTGTTATCCCCAAGCGAGTCATGTTAAACACCATTCACTTCTGTATGTATGTATGTAGATTCCCTCTCACTCTATATAGATATATACAAACATAGACTTATATTTTTTAATTAACTGCAAACATTTGAAGGGATGATTTAAGTATAATAATTTTCAAAATTGTATATTTTCAAGTAATTAGCTTCTACTGTACCGTACTGAAGTTCTGCATCTTGTGCGATGATAATAGTGCATAGCTGTAGGCATCTGGTGATCCCAGTTGTAAAAAGGGAGATATGTTGGGCAGTTGGAAAGTGGTCTACGGGGAGGGGGCAAGTTTAAAAATAAGACGGAAGAACGAGTCCCCGATATATTTTATAAGACGGCACCAAGTAGCATGCTTATTTTGTATATTGTTAAGAAATTTTGCCGCTCGGGAAAGGTACTCAGGTAACTTAAGTAAGTTAATGAGACTCTTTAGGACAATAACATATTCCTGTAAAAATCTTGAATCTTCATACGAAAAATGTTACACAATACAACACCATGACTATATTATCTTTCATCATTAAGCGTTGTCCAACATGTATCTGGTACGAAAATGCAACTGAAATTTCCTTAAACAATTGAAAAACGGACAAATTGCTGATGTTCATTTTCAAAGATGTTTGTGGCAAGTTTAATATTATAAAAAAATGGGGGAAAAGGAAGGGGGTTGGGGGGATACCACGCCTGCTGGAGAACACGTGCATGATTCTCATTTCTTGAAACACTCACTGGTTGACCATACTTAGTCTTAACAGTTTCAGGACTTGAAACACTCACTGGTTGACCATACTTAGTCTTAAAACTTTTAGGACTTGAAACACTCACTGGTTGACCATACTTAGTCTTAACACTTTTAGGACTTGAAACACTCACTGGTTGACCATACTTAACACTTTCAGGACTTGAAACACTCACTGGTTGACCATACTTAACACTTTCAAGACATGAAACACTCTCTGGTTGACCATACTTAGTTTTAACACTTTCAAGACTTGAAACACTCACTGGTTGACCATACTTAGTCTTAACACTTTTAGGACTTGAAACACTCACTGGTTGACCATACTTAGTATTAACACTTTTAGGACTTGAAACACTCACTGGTTGACCATACTTAGTCTTAACACTTTCAAGACTTGAAACACTCACTGGTTGACCATACTTAGTCTTAACACTTTTAGGACTTGAAACACTCACTGGTTGACCATACTTAGTCTTAACAGTTTCAGGACTTGAAACACTCACTGGTTGACCATAACTTAGTCTTAACACTTTCAAGACTTGAAACACTCACTGGTTGACCATACTTAGTCTTAACACTTTCAAGACTTAAAACACTCACTGGTTGACCATACTTAGTCTTAACACTTTCAAGACTTGAAACACTCACTGGTTGACCATACTTAGTCTTAACACTTTCAAGACTTGAAACACTCACTGGTTGACCATACTTAGTCTTAACACTTTCAAGACTTGAAACACTCACTGGTTGACCATACTTAGTCTTAACACTTTCAAGACTTAAAACACTCACTGGTTGACCATACTTAGTCTTAACACTTTCAAGACTTGAAACACTCACTGGTTGACCATACTTAGTCTTAACACTTTCAAGACTTGAAACACTCACTGGTTGACCATACTTAGTCTTAACACTTTCAAGACTTGAAACACTCACTGGTTGATCATACTTAGTCTTAACACTTTTAGGACTTGAAACACTCACTGGTTGCCCATAACTTACTCTTAACACTTTCAAGACTTGAAACACTCACTGGTTGACCATACTTAGTCTTAACACTTTCAAGACTTGAAACACTCATTGGTTGACCATACTTAGTCTTAACAGTTTCAGGACTTGAAACACTCACTGGTTGACCATAACTTAGTCTTAACACTTTCAAGACGGCAAAATGTTGTAACAATTAACGCATAATTGACTGCTTTAAATCTGTCTTGAAATTGTTCTTCCATTGTTTTAAAAAAAACAAAAAAAAACGGCCACCTTTCACGATCATTTACGTACCGGTCAAAGCAAACGTAAAGCTCAACTATGAATCACCTTTTCCGCTGAGAGATTTTTTATAGCAACTTCTTTACACTATTGGGAACATATGAGCTCGATGGCTAGAATGCATCATCGACAAACCCACGCACGCATTAATTAAAGATGCGGGAAAAAGGGGGGGGGGGGATGTCAATACTGGCGCATACTGTATGTTTGAGGCTGTTTATGCTGACAGTCTACCATTGGAAAATGAAGAAGAGTTAATGGCATCAATTCATTGGTGAGTTATTTGAGGGTGAATTTTTAATTGAAATGTTAAGGCCGCGAAAGAACTTGAAAGCACTAGATATTAATCTTGACGAAGCAAAAGATATTTCAATCATTTTAAAGAAGTTAACATATAATCTTTAAAAATTAGATTACACATTTTTCAAATTTTCTGAAATGTCCATTGATTAGTTCAACAATTTTCAGGCAGTATTTGATCCTTTGGCCCCTTCAGAACTCCTAAAATCGTATGATATCGTCTCAAAATCGTACAATATAGAATATTAATAGTAAATAAATAAACATACATTATATATATGTATACAATAACTACTCGCATCGCGTATCTACGGGGATCGAGTTAAGCTGGCGCCAAAAAAAGGTTGTCTTACTTTTAATAGTAGATGACCGAACTTTATATTGCAATCTGCGGTCACTTTGTTTTACAGACGTGTGTTTGCTACAGGTATTAATTTATACCGGTACTGAGTTGATGTGCAGATCACATCATCACAGTCAATCACTGGTAAAATTAAAGTTACTGATGAAATTTAACTTGGTTCAAACTCACAGTCATATCAGCATAAAATAAAATATATTGAAATGAGAATTGATTAACAAATCATCATTTAAAAAAAAACTTACCAAGTAACTTGATGTTTATAATTTAGGAAAAGCTGGCTTTAAAAAAAAATATATATAAAAAGAGAATCTCCATAAACTTATTTCCCGCTAATATCAACTATGACAAGCTGTAAATGGTTAAAAGGAAGGGGGCCTTTTGAACGGTAGCAATGGGGATCAGCTCGGTCTTTTCATCATTCAGTTTAAGCTTGTTTATAGTCATCCAGTGCTTAACTGACTCCACTGTCTTCTGTGTCATACTAAGAAGCTGAGGGAACTGAGAGGGGATCACAGATTGCCGAAGTTGGGTGTCATCCGCAAACATGTGATATAGCATATATTTGACACGGCCCTGTCAAACTGCTTGATCACTTCACCCACGGGCTGAACGCACAAAGTGAAAAGCACTGGGCCTAGGACCGAGCCCTTGGGTACTCCGAATTCGATGAAAGGTTGCTTTGAGGTCAAGCCGTTTGCAATAAGTGATTGGACCTGATTTGTCAGATACGAGCGGAACCATTTCAGGACGGTATCGTTGAAACCGAACGTATTTTCCAGACGTTGGAGAAGTATGCCGTGGGCAAGCGTATCGAACGCAGCCGATAGATCGAGTAGCGACAGAAGCGATATCTTCCCCTCGCCACAAGATGCCAGAAGGTCATTTACGACGCGCAACAGGGCTGTCTCGGTAGAGTGATGCACCCTGTATGCTGACTGGAAAGGCTCAAACAAGTCACACCGAATGAGGTGATTCAGGAGCTGGCTGATAACGACTTTCTCCAAAATCTTAGATATGAATGGAAGATCAGAGACGGGGCGATAATTTTCAATACATTTGGGTCGAGATTCGCCTTCTTTAGCAGTGGAAGTTACAACCGCTTCATTTTTTATTTAAACCCTTTTGGGGGTTAGACTAACTACATAGCTAAAACATGAATTATTATTTTAGAAAAAGTTTCCATCACAAAAAAACAAAAAAAAAACAAAACACTATTAACAGACATGATATATTATATTATATTTTGAACGCAAATGAAAAAAAAAATACATAAGCTAATCAGTTTACGTGTAATAATCCCTTTGCTTAATATTTACACGTTTTACCAGGATAGAAAAATAAACAACAACAAAATAATAACAAACTGTTCAGGAGAACGATCTCTACATTTTTATGGGTTATCAAAACTGGTCATTTTTATAAATCGTATACGAGCAGCTACATTATTTGTATGCGCCCGTTAAATTCTTTTTTTTTAAATCTACCTTTTTTAAAGTTTCCATTTTATGTTACTCAACCTATATGGAATCGAGTACATTTATAATTAGGCTAATACATATTTTTTAAATCTTAATATCATCATACAATTTTTAATAAGCACCTATTCCTACTTTGAAAGTCATGCTTTTAGAATAAAATTGAATTTGAAAATAGATTGCGCATGTTTAATGCTTTGCAAGAACTATTATTAGAATTGAAGACCTTGATATTGATGTGAAGGTAGTTTGATACAGTGTTAATAAAGTCTTTAAATTTGTGAAGTTGCAAAAAAAAAAAATGAATAAAAAGACAGGTATGTGCGAACAACAAGAAGTAAGACTCTGGCTTATAATCAAAAGCGGCCAGTATGATATATTTATTTATACTGTAGCCTTTAACAGTATTAACCTTAAATATACGACAGTGCCGTCTTAAGGCATGGTCCCAGTGGGCACTGGCCCAGGTCCCCGCGCTTGTAGGGGAACCACGTTTCTAGGAGACTCACTCTTATAGAGGCATCACGCGTTACATATTTTTTAATGAATTTTGAAATATTTTGAC